ATGCCCTTGTTTGCCGCATGCCCGGCAGGTAGCGGAGCGGAACTTGCAGTCGGTTCTCCTGTGGCGACCTCCACAGCCGATGCACTTGAGCAGAGCCGAAGAGCTTCCCTTCTGGTTCTCTTCCTTCGCGGGGTGTAGACGGTCGACTTCCTCGTCCGGATCCTCCTCGGAGTTTCGTCGGACGTCTTCCTGGTGCACGGACGCACCCTCTGCACTGTTTCTGATCGGCCGCATGTTTTTGATGGCGCCGCCTGCTGCTTCTTCTGCGGTGACTTCCCTTAAGGCGTCTTGGAAGGATAATTCTTCCTTGGCAAAAAGTCTCTGTTGTAGCTCTCGATGCCTTAGCCCGCACACGAATCGGTCCCTCAGTCGTTCCTCGAGGTCCTTGAACTCGCAGGGCTTGGCGGCCTTCCGTAGCGCGGCGATGTATTCCTTGGCTGTTTCACCGGACCGTTGATCCCTCTGCTCGAAGGTGTGGCGCCATGAGATAACGGACACCTTGGGGTGGAAGTGCTCTTTCAGCAGCTTCTTCAGGTCTGCGTAGCTTACAGACTCTACTGGAACAGGTGCTACAAGATTTTCTGCGATTTCGAAGGCGTCTTGGCCGCAAACGCAAAGCAGGGTGGCGGCCTTCAAGCTATCTTCCCTCACTTGGTTTGCCTTGAAGTAGTTCTCCATTCTGGATACGTAGGACTCCCACCGCTCTGGATGTGAGACGTCGAATTCCGAAAGCCTTCCGATTTTCGCCATCTTCGGATCTTCAGGAGACGGGTCTATCAGCCAGCCTACCCCCGAATGCGCACCGGATTGGCGGGTAGCTGCCGAGTCGACGCCGTTCCTCTTCCGCCGCTCAGGACTCCTCGGGTAAGCTTACACTTCTTCCTTTCCAGGTAGTGCAAGGCATCCCACCTTCGTCGCCAGTGTTGCGTCCTTGGCGGGAAAACAGACACGAGAAGCAGCTGGAGTTCTCAGTTTCTTTTATTCAGCGTTCAGCTTACAGGAAGATGGCTTCAGCCTCGCCCAAACGCCTCGCAGCCTCTTATATAGGCAACTCCCGGGTAAATGGGTTACTTTTCCCGCGCCAGCACCCGCGCATGCGCACGGCGCTGGCGACAGCCTGTCTGGTCCCGGGCAGCTTTGCACCTGCCCGGGACTGCCTGCAAACGCCCGAGCCGTTTGCAAAGGCTCGGGACATAACAGTATTAATCATGAAAATGCTGAGGAAGGGGAGATTTGGTTATTACATGCGTGTAAAAGGGAGAAAATGCTGTTAAGGTGTGTTTTATTTGGAGACCAAGACACACTTTGAAACAAAAAATGATTTATTGACAGATAAAGTACTGGAAGGCAATGATTTGTAGAGGATTAGGGTTTAGTAATTGCATTAATGTAATGCATATTAAAACACAGGTAGATTAAATGAGATCACTCGTCTACATAATAAAGCCTTTACTTAACAAAGGGTCTTAAAATCTTCCCTAAATTGTTAATTTTACCTAACCATTATCAGAAAATCTTTGGTTCCCAGCACTAAAGTGCTAGCAATTCTCAGTTGTTGGATACACTCTTTACAGCTGGCTTTCTTTCTTGCCTTCAGTTTTACCTCTTTACAGTTCTTTACTTCAGACATGATGGTGGATCCCAGGTGCTTTACTTTAGCTGAGTCTACAGTACAGTTGGATAAATCATTTCACTAGATCTGTAAGACTGCACATAACATTGAGGTAGAAATTAAATTCCTAGAAATCCTCCTACAGATGGAAAAATACAAGGAACTCCCACAACTGGATAGTCAAAAAATATATTGTTGCCGAGAAAATAACTTGGATGCATTCCCTTCACTAACTGACCTTCTTTTGGGAGAGGTTTTTAACTTTTTATCCTTTAAGGCAGAGTTCCCCAATATCCCCAACTTTGCGAACTGATGGGGGGAGCAGAGGGAATTATTTTGTGCGAGTGGTGGGCGAGTGGTGCACTCGCCCACCACTTCCACGGACCTGTTCCAAACAGCTCAAGGCCATTAGTAGGCTGCAGCCTGGGGGTTGGGGATCTCTGTCCTATGCCAGAGTTCCCCAACCTTTCTGGCTTTGTGGACTGGCAGGAGGGAGAGGGGAAGAGGGGATGGTTCCATGTGAGCGATGGGTGAACATATGTGCATGTGCTCGCATATCACTTTTGTGGCCCAATTCCAAATAGCTCAAGGCCAGTAGTGGGCCCCCAACCTTTCCGGTTTTGTGGACCGGGAGGGGGAGATGGGAAGAGGGGATGGTTCCACACAAATGGTGGGTAAGCGTGCACACACACACTCACCCACCATACAAGTGGGGATGCACACATACCTACCATTTCTATGGCTCAGTTCCAAATGGCTCAAGGCCCAGTAGTGGGCTGTGGGCCTAGGGTTGGGAACCCTGACATAGAACGTAGAATAATAGGGTTGGAAGGGACTTCGGAGATCTAGTTCAACCCCCTGCAGGCTATCCTATATCAGAGTTCTCCAACCTTTTTGATTTTGCAGACCAGTGGAGGGGGTGGAGGGCATGGTTGCAGGTGAGCAATGGGCAAGCACGTGCGCATGCACGCAGCTCCACTTCCACAGCCCAGTGGGCCACGGCCTGAAGATTGAAGACCACTGATTTAAGGTATTGTTCATTTTAAAGTTCTGAGCAATTTTTTAACTTTTTTAACTTTCTGTAATTTTCTACTGTTGTTTTCCAATAAACAATAGCCTCTGTCCTTTTAAAAAACCTATCTTCTACTGTTACATTCTTGTATGTAATTGTAGTTATTTGGGAAGCACATAAGTCAGTTTCTAATAAGAGACTAAATATCTTCATTTTTCTCTGCCATAACATCACGCCAATTTTATTATAAACAAATTTAACTGGCTATACGCTTGTAATACAATTAGATTACTGGGTATAGTCTTGAAACCATGATTAGTTTTATTTTGTGTAGTATAGGGATTCCTTATATTTTATCTATGATTTAGTGCAACATGAAATAAATGTTTACCAGCTTCATCTTAAACTACAAATTGAATTGATAAAAATAGAATTGCAAGTTTTGAAACTATTACTTGAGTCCAGAGAAGATTGGTAGGAATCATAAAAGTTTAAATCTTGTTCAGGTTACAAAAATATTCAGATTATCGTAACATATGAATGCAATCACTATTTTATTTTATTTTTCACTTTAATTTTAAAATATTTCTCCATATCAAGGTAATTTTTTTACATTATTGTTCACATAAGCTCAAATGACAAAAGAAAAATATATATCCATATTTATATTAAAGTATGCAGTCTGTGTATTATATGATTCTGTAACATATATGCAGCTTGTGTATTATGTTCCTATAACATTATGTGCTATAATATATGCCTTAAATTATATTATTTAATATTCAGACTTATTCTAAATTATTTGAATATATATTATTTATACCACATGGTAAGTACTTTCAAATCATAAGAGTTGATGTTTGGCTGCAGATCAAATGAAGACGCACCTAGTTTCCCATATCTGTATCTTTAAATGATTGCATCAGGATGCTAACAACCTGACTTGACCTTTTCCAATGAGCATAATATAACTAAAATGCAAGTAGAAGACCATACTTTGCAGAACTATCCTCAATGGAGTGACTGAAGAGACTAAAAAAGTAGAGGGTTAGACCAAAGCCCTACACCTTTGTACATGCACTAATAGCAGATAAATATATGAAAAGGCAGAGCTTGGATCCTTGTACCTACAATTTTAGCCTCTTGATATTTCATTGTAGATGACACTGCTATATTGACTAAATTTTAGACAGGGACTATCTCTGTACAGAAAACTGAATAAAATGTGTAAAAGTGCAGACAGAAAATGGATTTTCTTGCAAGCTATAACAGAATAACAGTGTTGGAAGAGACCTTGGAGGTCTTCTTGAGTCTAGAAGTCTAGACCAACTCCCTGCTGAAGCAGGGAACCCTATAACATATCAGACAAACGGTTGCCCAATCTGTTCTTAAACATCTCCAGTATTGGAGCACCTACAATTTCTGGAGGCAAGTTGTTCCACTGTTTCTCCTTAGTTCTAAGCTGGTTCTATCCTTGATTAGTTCCCATCCATTGCCTCTTGTGTTGCCTTCAGGTGCTTTGGAGAATAGATTGACCCCCAATATTCTCTTCCACAGAGCTACAATTTGAATGGAAGTGAAGTGAAGCAGACTCAACATCTAGGGCAGGGCTTTTCAACCTTTTCACCCATTGTACCACTTTTAGGATATGGCAATATCCGAGTACCACCAGTCGCCTAGCAAGGTGTCAAAAACTTGATGACAAAAAAAAGGAAAAAAGTGATAAAGTACAAGTAGTCCTCGACTTACAACAGTTCGCTTACTGACAGCCCCAAAGAAGCGCCGATCAGCTGGAAAGCGGCACTGATCCTGGTGCTTCCGCTGAGCCCTGACAGCCCTGCAGCTCCAGCCATCTCTTGCTCAGGCTTGTGCGGTGCTACCACTGGTTCAGCTCATTCCCCTCCCCCGCTACCACTTTTCTAGGATGGTCGCGTACCACCTGCCAGGTGCCAATGTACCACAGGTGATACCCGTACCACTGGTTGAAAAGCCCTGATCTAGGGATCATTAATAATAGGAAAACAATAGATCATAAAAGCACGGACACCATTTGCTTTCATCTTGCTTGTTTTCTGGCAGCTTTCGTGATGATTTGGTTCCTCTCAAAATCAACAGTCCTAACCAAAGTTGCAAAATCTTTCTCACTTAAGAACTGCTGCAGCTAAAGAAGAAATTTCTATCGATATGATGAACACCCATATGTGAATTATCAATGCACGAACAGAAAACAGAATATGTTAAGCAAAGATAGTTATCTTCATATGCTGTATTTACAGTATAACTCTTTGTGTCCTATTCAATGTAATGCTACAATTATGGACATTTCTCTTGCTAACAATTAAAACATCTAGGAAGATTCTAAGTACATATGTTATCTTTCATTTAGAAATGATTTTATTTTATGCTCAAATGCCTAATGTGGATTTTTGAAATATCTTATTCTAAAAAAATACAATTTTCAGATACAAATAAAGATTGCTGGAATATCTGAGCTCAGATATGTTTGATCAGAGTTCATTCATGATTAGTACGTCCATGTGGCTGTAAGGGATAGAAATAAAAACACTTAGAAACACTAATGTAAAAATTAATGGCTTCTGAGCTTAAACACAGGTTAATAAAAACAAAATTAAACATTCTAAACATATTTGATACATTCCTGTTATCCCAGAAGTACTTCATTAAATGCTGATAATCTTAAAATTAGCATATGACTCCAAGATTTATTAGCTCACTAATCACCAGGATTAATCTGGCTGGCTGGAGAAGTGTATGGTGTGTATGTGTTTCCTTCTCTCTCATCATTTCACAGTTGTATGTCCTGAAAACTACAGGCTTAGTAGAAAAGTGCCACTGTCCCAAACAGGATCTTTGTGCTCATTCTTTGCTCCCCAACGCCACCCCCGCCAGAATCTCCAATAATTTCAAAGAACTCTTATTATATTCTGATGCTCTGACAAATGTGAAAATACAATCCAACCATTTTTTTATTTATACATGCACACAAAGAGAGAAAAAAAAGCAGTTTCTACCTTTAAATTAATGTATATGAACTCTAAACTAAAATCTTATTTTGTTCATAATGTGCTTTTGCATTTTTTAATTTTATTTCAAGTCTGGAAGGAGAGAAAAAAATGCTGACAATGAATTGATTCCAGTATACATGCATGTTTAAAGAAGCTGCAGATTGAATATATTTCTACAAAAATTCAGGATGAATAAGTATTTTCCAAATACTTACATATTGGAATTTACTTTGAATATAACTTACCTTTAACTTTAGAATAACACGGTGAACAGTGTACTCTGTTCTTGTAAATCCAGATACTGTCTCCTGCCTCCAGGTTTTCTAAAGTTGTTTTGCAGATTTCACACTTGAAGACATGGAATTAAAAAAATTTAGTGGTAAAATCCAGCCAAAGAACAACATACCTGCCGGCTATTTTTAATACGATTGTAGCTTGCCTTACAACTTTATTTCATTATAATTTTAGTATGAATTAAAATATTTCATTCAGCATCAATACTCATTTTCTGTATGCATGTGCTTTATTATTGGGCTAGCATCTACTGAACTTACATTCTTCCCATATTTTGGCTATGTAATTTTACAATTTTCCAGCACTCTAAAGATAAATGATAAATTAAGGAGAAGTTTTATACTGGAGCTTAACATTCATCCAGTTTAGTTTGAATGCAGCTAGCAGTGGTGGTCCAAGATCTCAAGTAAAGATTTCTCTTATTCTCTTGATTATTTTAATTGGATACATCAGAATGATCTTCAAAAAAGCACAAATCTTGTTACTGAATTTCTATGTGGTTCCATGATCAGAAGCAATCTTTCAGAGTTGTCTAATTGCATTCGGTTTAAATCTATCTTTTCTCCTTCAGAGGAGCTCCCCAAATCTGATTTAGCAAGTTTGTAGTGAGTTGGAACTAGTATGTCCAATCACCAAAACATATTTTAAATAGAATTTTGCCAAACATTCCCACTTTTAATTGGTTTACCTGGATAAACAATAATGCAATCAATTAAAAACTGAAGAAAATTCTAATCCCTTTTTTATAGTCATGTCACAGAATGAAAGGGGAAAACAAAACAGATTTGTATGGAAAGCATTAATTTCTAAATCAATCCTTCAGTGCTAACATCACACTTATCTTCACCTGGTTTCTAATAAAATCAAAATGATACTATTCACATCCAAAATATTAATCCCTTTAGAACAATCCTCTGGTTAATAGATATACAAAAACATAGGAAAGAATTCTCAGGTATCTAATGTAGACAGAGCTTGTTTACCACAGAATACTGTGTGTTTTGGGGACAGAAAATGCTGGTTGATTTTCAGTAGAAAGAAAGAAAAACAACAAAGAGAGAGAATAGAATACATTAAATCTAGTCCTCGATTTACAATCATTTGTTCGTCAACCATTCAAACTTGCGATGGCGTTGAACAAATGATGGTTAAAAAGTCCTCTTAGAGACCTGCAGTCATGTGATTGTAACACTTGGCAACCGGCCTGCACTTATGACCAGTTGCAGTGACAATTGCCATTTGACAAAAAGTCAATGGGGAAGCTGGAAGGAAAGGTCATAAATCATTGGGATAAATCTCCCATATCCACACAATTGTTCCCAACCCCTCTGTACTTGCCAGCCATTAGCACCTCATCCCCAACCCCATGTGCTTCTCTCACATCCTCCAGCATCCCCGACTCATACATCTTTTGCATCCTGTGTCAAGAGAAGTTTTGCCATGCCACCCATATATCCCTTTTCTGCCCTTCTCCATCCAGCAGCAGCTTCTTGTCTACCAGCCTGCTTGCAAACCAACTGGGACTGGCAACTTTCTGCTGGCTTCTCCATTGACTTGGTTGTGAAAAGCCAGCAGGAAGTTATCTTGCCTAATGATCAGGGATTGTAGCTGCGCTTACAACTTAGCAATGAAAAGTCCAGTCCCAATGGCTGTCATAAATCTGTACCTGTATCCTAGAAAAGGTATTTCGGCCTGAACAGCAATTTTCCAGCACTGTAGATGCCACACTGGCTAATTAGATGCTTTCAGAAAGCTTACACATAGATAGGAGATCAAAGACTGTTGCTTTCTAGCAGGAATGTGCAAAATGTTTCATCACAGAGTATTCTAACCTTGGAATAGCTCATTCTGTGAGCTTTAAAAACAGCCTTTTCAAGTTGAATCACTTGTAGATTGTACATTCCATTTGCACATTCCAAGTTCAGAATGGTTCTTCAAAGGTGGAATTTTCTGCATTAGTGCCCAGCAGCCAAAGTATGTTGCCTTGGATTCCATATTATTTTGCAGCAGGCCATGCACAATATATAGTTACCGGTAATACAAGCTTACTATTGGTTAAGGTGAAACTGCTAGCTAATAGGACACAATCCCAACTATATTTATGGGATTTTTATCCCATCTTACTACTTTGTAAGTACCTCAAATAGCAAATCTACATAATACTCTTTCCTGTTCCTATTTTCCTCAATAACAACCCTATAAGGTAGGTTGGGCCAAGAGAGTATTTGGCCCAAAATCACCCAGCTGGTGCTCCTGCCTAAGTTGAGACTAGAATTAAGTTTTCTGATTTCTAGCTTGGTGCCTTAACTTGTAAGCGGCTGGCTTACTTGCTTCCAGCAATCATTCAAAAAATTCATCCCTTCCATATCTGAAACATTAATATAATCAGGATTTTATCACCACGTTCTAGAACTTTCATGGCACTTGCAGTCTTGAATAATGTCACACGGCAATGCGAGAAAGCTTGGACCAAATGGGAGGAGACCACATTTTCATGACTAGCATTAAGTAAGTTTCTAGGCCAGCATCTTAACCACTATACCAAAATAGGTGTCTATGCACATCTGTATACATGTGTATGCCCATTTGCCCATTTTAGGACAATCCATGAAACGGCATTCTTACCTTGAAGCAAGTCGCATGACAGCAAATCTGTAGCGCTTCGAGAATCATTTTAGTATTTGTGCCCAATGGTTTCCGGCAATAGGTACACAATTCTCTGTCTATAGCCCTTTGAAAGAAAAAGTTATAGATTTCTCATAGTTATTGGAAGAACTAGTGCACACAGCCACCACTGATGCCCTAAAGCAAGGGTGTCAAACTGATGGCCCGTGGGCCGGATGCATCACGTGCAGGCCACAACCAGCCCGGCTCCTCAAAGGCAAAAAACATCGCAATACGTCACGATACATCATAAGACGTGATTGAATTTGACACCCGTGCCCTAAAGTGTTGGCATCCTCAGAGACTCACACTTATCCGAACCATGATTTCACTAATTATGTGGATAGTAAATGTTCTAAAGGGGAAATGCAGGCTAATTCAGATAGTTGAAAATAAACTATTTGTATTTTAGCCTTGATAAAATAAGATTGGAACTTCTAGTGTCATGAATAGATACAATATTTAACACTTCCTGCTTTTGTCAGAATGCACTTTTTCTTCAAGTTCAGCTCAGCTCTTGGTCACCTATATAGTTTTTTAACAACAGTACACAAGTGGTTTGCTTCTGGCTTTTTCTGGGATGTTTTTAATCTGCCCACCTAAACAACCATGTCTAGTAGTGGGGAGAATGATAGGCTTAGACCAGGGGTCTTCAAACTTGACCCTTCTATGATTTGTGGACTTCAACTCCCAGAATTCCTCAACTAGCATCTACAGAACCTTGGAGTACCCCACCACTTACTTCCCTCCATACAGATGTAGTTCTCTTAAGGATTATACATTGAGTGTGGTTTGTCAGCCAGTTTATGAATGCCTCTGGTAGTGATGCTGTCTATTTCACATTTTTCTAACCTACTAGGAAGTAGGTTGTGGTCTACTTTGTCAAGTGCCTTACTGAAATCCAACCCAAATACTATGCTGACAGCATTTAGCTGGTCCATTAGTTTAGTCACTTTGTCAAAGAATGAAATAAGATTTGTTTGGCATGATCTGTTTTTGACAAACCCATGTTGGCTTCTGGTTATAACTTTGCTTGCTTCTAGGTGTTTGCAGATCTGTTGCTTGATTATCTTTTCCTGGATCTTCCCAGATATTGATGTCAGGCTGATTGGCCTGTAGTTTCCTGATCTGTTTTATTTTTCTTTTTTTAAAAAAAGATGGGAACCACATCAACTCTTTTCCAGTCCTCTGGTAGTTCCTTGATGTGCCAGGATATTTGTAAGATATGATTCAATGGTTCAGAAATCACATCTGCCAGTTCCTTCAAAGGTCTGGGATGTAAACCATCAGGTCCTGGTGATTTGAACTTGTGCAGGGTGGACAGATGTTGTCTTACCATTTTCCTACCTATTTTAATTTGTATTCCTAGTCTTTTTTATGGTTCTTTTTGATAGGTTGGGCTATTTTTTCCTTTTGCATGAAGACAGATGCAAATAATGAATTAAGCAGCTCTGCTTTCTCCCTGTTGCCACTTGCTTCATTGCCAATTTCTCCCATTAGTGGAACAATTGTTTCCTTGACTTTTTTTTTTTTTTTGCTTTTTACATGTTGAAAGAAGCTTTTTTTTCTCCCACAAAGTTCCAGCAACTTCAACCTCCTCTATCATTTCATCTCCGTTAGTAAGAATTAGGTCAGGTATAGCTAGTTCCTTCCTCTACATTATGGATGATAAAGTTGTCAGCTAGGCTTGTAAGGAACCTGCTCAATCTCCCACTTGATTAAGAGTTTGTTTCCCAGTTGTTGTCAGGGTAGTTAAAGTCCCCCGTTACTACTGTGGTGTGTTTCCTACATACATTAGTTAACTGATTAGCAAAAAGTTCATCTATTTCTTCTGTTTGGTTGGATGGCGTGTAATATACACCTATGGCAATGTCATTGTTTTTTTCTTTTATAAAAAATTAAGCATTCTAGGAAGCTTTCATCCTTGGTTTTATGCATTTCTGTAGAGATGTAGCAATCTTTTACATAAACAGTGATGCAACTCCACCTCCTCTTTTGCTAGGTCTGTTTCTTTTGAACAATTTATATCCTTCTCTGGGTAGAATAAACAGAACAATTTGCTCTGATGTAAACATAGGAGGTGGCTTTTTTAGCCTTCAAGTATTCTAGAAGTTTATAAACTTTTAGAATATTTGAAGGTTATATTCACTGGCAGCGCTGAAAGAAGCTATGTCTATACTCTCCTTGTCTTCATTCAGACCAGTCTCCAGCCTTCCCCTTTTGGAGAAGATTATTGAAAAGTCTCAGAACCCTTTTCCAAATATTATTAATATTCATATAATAGGTTAAAAAAGCACTAATAATAACATATTTTTTGGTGTTTGAAATTTCTTTGAGGAAGGGAGGCTTCTCTATGTCTGAATGCATTGGGTTACAAGAATTTTTTTTATGGGACCCTGTCCCGAGATGATATAAAAATTTGTATAACAGGTAACTTAGATAGGCTGGCTTAACTCAAAACCTCAGAAAATTTGAATTCAGAGACGAATTTTTTCTTATAGTGTTACACAGGGAACTAATCGCCAAAAATATAAAAAGCTTAAACTGTAACTTTTATATCATAAGTCGTAAAACCCACAATATACAGTGTTAATGAAAAAAGGCACATCGATATTTTAAAAATTAGTAAGGAACTATGGAAAAAAAAATTTCTCAGGAGGTTGCATCCTTGTCTGGGCTGGAAAGTTATTGTAAACAGAGTATGGCCTAATAAAGGAGAATATTTGTAGCTCAGGGTTGACATGATTGGTGCTCTCTCAGCTTGCATGTTTTCTTGTAGACATTTCATTGCTAGCCCTGATGATGTTAGCTAGAATGGGTAAAGAAATGTCTGCAAGAAAACAAGCAAGCTCAGAGAGCACCAAGGACTCCTCAGAGTGTGGCCTGGAGAATACTTGAATGGAATTCTCTGAGTTTCCTATAAGCAAAGCTGAGAATTATTATTATTTTTTAAAGAAGGAAGGCAGTAGCAAACCAATGTTATATTATTGCTCAGAAAATTTCACAGATCTGTCCATGAAATTCAAGAACATAATTTGACTTAAGAATATTGTTGCCTATTTCTGGAAATTGTAGCTTCATGAAGGAATTATACAGATAATAAGAGGACTAGAAATATGTTAATTACCCTCTTAACACTATTTGCAAAACTAGATTACGGATATAATCCAAATGACTGATTTCTCTTTCATTCATTAATTAATGAATGAATTCCTTTGGTGACATTACTCAACTCCTGGAGGCCTACAAAAATGAAACCAAAACAAGAAAAATGTATTCTTAACATATGTTGCACTGTAGGTGACTTATGAATGAATAGAGAGGTCCAACATCAATTCCTACTAAGATATTATATCAATACTGCAACTTTGCAGGAATAAGGAAATACTTTTAGAACTAATAATTGCTCCTGACATAATCTACAAATTGCACTGTTGGATTACAAAATACCTCTGGAATTGGACTGCCTGCAAAAGTGATATATTATCTCAATTCATAGATGAAGCTTTATGTATAAAAGTTTCATAATGGAGGACTTATGTGATGAAAAAGTGCTCAGGCTACAGAGTCTGGAAACTGAGCAAAACAGTAGCAGGGTGTTGATGTACAGGTAATCCTTGACTTACAATCACAGTTGGGCCTGGAATTTTGGCTGTTATAGCCAAATCTGTGCTATAGGAGGATTGATCGAAAATATCCCAACGGAACTGCTTTAAAAGTTCTTGGGTGCAGGGATTGTGCAATAGTCGTAACTTTGAGGGTGGGTTATAAGTCACTTTTTTAAGTACAGTCTTAACTTTGAACTGTTGTTAAACAAATGGTTGTAAGTCGATTTTTCTGTTTGGTTTCACATTTTGTATTTTCCTGCTCAAGTTATACTACATTTGTGTCTAACCCCAGCAAACTAAAAGTCACAAACTGGAAGTACAGACTTACCTTTGATTGTTTTTATCTTTGACTTCAATGAAACTGTCCAGGCCAGAGCTGATTTGGGAACAAAATAAAGTAAGTACAAGGGACTGCAGAGATTTCAGTAATTATTGAGCAGAAGGTTTTAATTTATTTTAATGTATTTGTTTTAATATTTAATATTGAATTCTTTATATTAGTAGCATTTTGTTATTGCTTAACTTGAACATTGTTTTGGGTGAAAAGATGGAATATAAATTTAACAATTTATTGGAAATGTGCATTATAATTACAATGTTTGCAAGGAGAAACTGTATATTCAGTGAAACCTTGATTTATCACATTTCAGTATAATTAACTTTGGATGCAATAGATCTTCTGTAATGATTTGTATCACTTGCACAATGAAGTAATCATGCAAATAAAATAATTTGTGATCTTTGTGTGATGCTGTCACATAAGCCAAGTCCAGGGATCTTCAAACTTGTCTCTTTTATGACATGTGGACTTCAACTCCCAGCATGCTGGCTGAGGAATTCTGGGAGTTGAAGTCCACAAGTCATAAAAGAGACAAGTTTGAAGACCCCTGACCAAGTCCAACAGAGTTAAAACATTTATTTGCTTATACCTAATGGACAGAATGTTGTCAAACTAAAACTGTAACATTCTGATCTACTAGATCAGCGACCCCCAACCTCTTGGGCACCAGGGACTGGTTCCATGGAGAGAGGTTTTCCGCAGACTGGAGGGGGCGTGGTTTCATATGCTGCCTGCATCCTGCAGATGGGGCTTCCCTTGTTTGCACAGCCCCGTTTCTGGAATGCTACAGCCTGGTTTCTGATTCCACGGACTGGAGGTTGGGAACCCCTGTACTAGTTTCTAAGAGATCTAGGTTGTGGCTATCCTGAATTTCTTTCCCATTCCTGCATCCAGCTCAGGACTCCACAGTCTCTTCATCTGGAGCTCTCTCTGGGAAAGCTCTGTGTTGCCAAAACCTTCCCCCACTGTTTCTCCAAGTACACATTTGATCACAGATGCAAATGGTGCAATGTTGTTTTTTGGCTATTTACAGTCTTTCACATAGTAAAATCACATAAATGATGCAAATCACCTCAATGGTACATGTTTATATTTAAAAGATATTTGTGAATATCTCTTTGACTTTTACTCCCAATCAGTCCTTTAAAGCAAAGTTTCATTTGTATTATATATATATTAACAATTCAGTAAAAAACTATAGCATTTCTAAGTTTATGAAGGAATGCCCAATAAGATAACTATCACCAATATTTGATTCATAATATTTTAAAAGAACGAAATAACTTTTCAGAACTAGGTTCATTAATATAATGCAGTTGCCTAATTCAGGTGTACAATGTAGAACTTACAATGTGTCTTTCTGGTTTGATATACGATTCACTTCGATGAGATTCTCCAAATCCTGACATCCGCTAATATGAAAGAAAAAATCAAAGTAATTTATTCTACATAGTGTTTGAATTTTGTCTAATACAGAGACAAAGCAGGAGGAGGAACTACTGCTCTCTAAAGCCTATGCTTTGATCTTACTACATAAGAGTAACTTTGCAAGAGTAAGAAAGTGTTTTAAGTTTGTGAGTAATGTGCCCACTGATGACTAGTAGAAACTTCTGCTAGAGGTGAAACTCTGAAAAATAACAGGGAGATTGATGTGGTATGAAATATTGTTGCTGATAAAATGTTTAATAATGCACTGTTGCATAATGCATGCTTTGGTACTTGGGAATTTAATAGAGCCAGAAAATTTCCTATCATTGGGATATTCTATGTTTTTTTCCCTAGATACTGAACTGGAACCAAAACAAAGACTTAACCATGATCAGTTTCCACTTTGATTTTAGAGAAAGTGTCCAGGTTATGCCACTTTAGAAATGAAAGTAGATAATATAATTGAAATATTGTGATTTTGATTGCTTTCAATATATATATATATATATATAACAATATTGGGTTTATCTGCATTGTTTGTTAGCCAATTTAAATATAGAGAAAGAGAAGAATCCCAAATATAGGTAGTCCTTGGCTTATGACCACAATTGAGCCTAAAATTTCTATTGTTAAGTGAGACATTTGTAAAGTGTGTTTTGCCTCATTTTAGGACTTTTCTTGCCACAGTTGTTAAATGAATCACTGCAGGTGATTGTTGTGAAGCGAATCTGGTTTTCCCATTGATTTTGCTTGTCAGAAGGTTGCAAAAGGGGATCACGTGATCCTGGGACACAGCAATGGTCATAAATATGAACCAGTTGCCAAGCATCTGAATTTTGATCACATGATCATGGGGATGCAGCAAAAGTCGTAACTATGAAAAACAGTCATAAGTCACATTTTTCAGTGTCATTGTAACTTTGAACGATCATTAAACAAATTGTTGTAAGTGGAGGACTACCTGTATTAAGAAAAAAAAATATTGATTTGGCTTCACGCATTTCAGAAAATATTCCTTGTTTCAATAGCACTACATAAATAATAAAGAACAAAAATTACAACATGCACAAATTATAATATTGATTAAAAGAGGCATTTCTCCTTATTTGTAATCAAAATAATTAGGTAAAAATCTAAAATGCGTTAACCTTATATTATCGATATAATCAAATAATTTGACAGCAATTAAAAACATTTTAATCCTTATTTGTAGAAATCAGATGTCAAAAACAAGAATACTGCTAGAGCATAACAATATATCAGTTTAGCTTTTATACATATCTGTTAAATTTATATCGTTTCACATGTACATGCACACACACACATACTTTTACATTTGTGTGTGTGTGTTTGAGTCAGCATTGACTCCTGACAACTGCCTGCCCAGGTCCCTGCAATTTATTTGGCAACAATTCAGAAGTAGTTTGCCCTTGCCTTCTTCCAAAGGCTGAGAGAGAGATTAGCCCACAGTCACCCAGCTGGCTCATGGTCTCCTGTTTCTAGCCTTAACTGCTATACCACATTGTGGAGAGGAAGATGAGAATGGAAATCAGAAAATCCAGAGTACCAAAGAGTTTGATCTTTTGAGTCAAATGAGCTTAGGAATCATAGAATCATAGGGCTGGAAGTGACCTTGGAGGTCTTCTAGTCCAGCCCCTGCCCAAGGCAGGAGTTCTTATAGTGCTTAGACTTCAGAGTGCTTTACATCTCTCTTTAAGTGGTTTACAGAGTCAGCATATTGCCCCCAACAATCTGGGTCCTCATTTCACTGATCTCAGAAGGATGGAAGGGTGAGTCAACCTTGAGCGGGAGAGACTTGAACTGCTGACAGTTGGCAGTCAGCAGAATTAGCCTGCAATACTGCATTCTAATCAATGTGCCACCATGGCTTTTATATCATCCTGGACAAATGAACATGGCTCTTATATCATCCTGGACAAATGAATGTCCAGTCTTTTCTTGAAAACCTCCAGCTACGGAGCACCCCAGAACTCCAGAAGGCAAATTGTTAACAAGTTTCCACCCATTGCTTCTTGTTCTGTCCTCAGGTGCTTTAGAGAGTAAGCCAACTTCCTGTTCTCTGGGACAGGGAAGGAGATGACTGAACTGAGCCTGAGGGTGGGGTCAAGTGCATTATCAATTTGGAATCATTATGCCGCGTAAGAGACCTAAATCCAACCTTGAAGTCCGCTGACTCTTATCTGGTGCCAATATGCCTTGACCATTAGTAGATTAGATTCTTGTGTATAAGTTGCACGACATAAACTCATAAATTTCTTTGAACTCTATCCTGGCTCCTAATTTCCTGTGCCTGACAGACAATCCTTGGTAGTACTGGTAGACAATTATCAAGTCACATTGATCCTTCTCTTCATTAGGCTAGACACACCTAGTTCCCTCAATTGTTCATTGTACAATTTAGCCTCCAGACTCCTTATCATCTTAGTTGCTCTTCTCTGCACTATTTCTAGGGTCTCAGCATCTTTTTTGTACCATGGTGATCAGAACTGGATACAGTATTCCAACTGTGGCCTCACTAGTGTAGTACAGAGGGATACTTCTTGTAATCTTGATACTATACTTCAGTTGATGCAGCCTTGAACTACATTGGCTTTTCTGGCAGCTGTAGTACACTGCTGGCTCATACTTAAGTGGTGGTCCACTTTTGGAAATTTAAATCCCTCTCACAGCTACTACCTATACCACCTATTAAAATCAATTAAATTTCTATGCAGCAGCTATGCCAATAGTGAACCTCAGCCTCTTTTCTATGTTTTTTGACATCCCATGCACTTAATAAAAGTTGTAGAGTCAACTGCCATCTTCACTTTTTTATTTTCTCTGTGGATGCCCATGGAACAATGAAGCTTACAGCTTGATAAGGAAGTAGAAATTGATTTAATCCCCTTAGCCATCATAAGATTCACTAGAGGTTTGGGGAGGAAAGTGGAATAAGGAAGAACATGAAATTTTACAATTTTCAAACTAGATTCAGAATGTAATACAGCTTTCAGATTTGAAACTTACTCCTTTCTGAACTGATTAGACATATGATTCACTTTGATGAGATTGTGTAGGTCTTGGGATCTGTTAAGGCAGAACAAAAACAAAGGCAGTTTGCTGTTTGTATATTTTTGTGCACTTGATACTTGTGGAAAAGAGATTTCACACAGGCTAGGTGGCACTCAGAGATTATTGTGGGATATGTGAGAAACCTTTTGAAAACCTGTTAATCCCTTAAATGGAGCCAAAGAATACCTCATTTGTACTTCTCCATGTTTATGTGAGTGCCAGGAGAACAGGTAGGCCATTGCATGGAAGGAAGGAAAACTGCAGGTTGGCTGTGGCCTAGTGTTAAGAGATATACTCAGAAAGAGGATGAAAATGAGGACTAGATAATGGGTTGGAGCAAACACACATGGGAATGATGAAACTGGGCTTTTGTATGGAAGGGAAGGCAGGCTACAGCCTAACCAAAAAGGTCAAAAGTTCCTCAGTGCCTAATTAGCTGCTAGTAAAATATCCACTCCCAAAGGTGCCTTCTCCATAGACATTTAAAATATTCAGTTTTCCAAGATTAATTGCACTGGTAAAATCACAACTTAGTAATATAGGAAGTCCTTGACTTGTGGCCCAATTGAGCCCAAAATTTCCAGTGCTAAGCAAGATGAGTAAGTTACATGAGTTTTGCCTATTTTATGACCTTTCTTGCCAAAGTTATTAAATGAATCACTTCCCAACTAGCTTTTTTTATCAGAAGGTCGCAAAAGGTGATCACATGACCCCAGAACACTGCAACCATCATAAATATAAATATATACCAGTTATTAAGCATTCAAATTTTGATCATGTGACCATGGGGATGTTGCAATGGTTTTAAGGGTGAAAAAGAATCATAAGTCACTTTTTTTCAGTAACTTTGAATGGTCACTAAATGAATGATTGTAAATCAAGGACTACCTGTATTATAGACACTTGACCATCGGAACCCTGGATAGTTCTTCTGTCCCAGTTTTGGCTAGTAGGCCACTCTGGACAATTAAGATGGGTAGTGGGTGATCTCAACTCAATCTGACTAACACTTCCACCTGCCAATTCTGAATACATGCTGCAGTCTTTGGATAGTCAAGACAGCACTGGGAAATTGTTGTATGCTGCCTATGCTGATGCTTAACAGTCTTCCTAGGCTAACTAGGGTAAATTTGTTTGTGGTGTTATATGAATCTGAACTGCTTGTCCTGGAAGATTTCAGCATCTTCAGTCACGATTTCATGACTAAGAACCTGTCCCAAATAATATTTGGTCCAACACACCAAACAGGGAAGAAGTTAAATTTAGTTTTCTTTTCAAGTACAGCTATATATCTGGAGGAGATCCATGTGACTGTTGTCAAGGAAAATCATTCCTTGATCAGATGTAGATTGATAACTAATAAAAATCTCTGCAGGTACAGGACTGGTTAAAATAGCTCAGTCAGGCCCTTGATAGCTTCCTATACATTACATCCTTGGGAAATCTCCCATATCATCTCTTGGCAATACTGTTTTGATGGCTTGACTGATCTGTAGAATAAGATCACAGATCTGTGGAATACAGAACGCAGGTCAGTCTTGGAAATTCAAGTTATTTTGTTAAAACAAAATTAATATTGTGGATTTAATTTAAATTGTCCCCAAGAACCTTCTTCCTTCTTGCGCTTTCAAGTCCTTTATTTATTAGTAAGATGGTGGGCATGATGTTACGGAAGCCAGAGATCAGGCTGATATAGGAGAAGATGCTCCCAATGTATTCAGGTTCCCTGAGCTCACTCCTAGCCACCGGACAGCATCCCCTTGGAAGCCCCGTGGTCTGGTTGCTACTGATGAATACCAGGTTGGTCAATAATAGGGTTCCCCTCATTCAAGACCTTATTGAGGAGGAGCAAGCTGACCTGGCATGTATCATCACAACTTGGGTGACTCCAGAAAGGGAGGTCCAATCTCAGAAATGTGTCCAGCTGGGTAAGATTTGGCATCAGCCAAGACCTCCGGGCAGGACAGGTGGGGTTGCAGTGGTCATCTGACAATCTCTCTTGGCCTTCAGGAGTGTTGCTCTCAATGTTTCTGGCTGTGAGGTGCTGTTCCTGAAACTAGGCTCATAAGATCAATTTGGAGCGTTGCTACAGGACTACCTCCCTTTTGCGTAACAGCCTTCCTGCCTGAGCTGCTGGAGGCCTTCTTGGGGCTAGCAGGAGAGTTCCCCAGGCTTATTGTCCTGGGGGAGTTTAATTTGCAATCCCCCAGTTTGGCCCAGGAGTTCATGACTACAATAGCAGCCATGGCCCTATCCTAAATCATCTTGGGTTTGACTCGGGACACTGGTCACACACTGGATATGATTTTTTTATCAGAGCAATGGCAATGTGATCTTGGTGGGAAATCTCTTGGTTTTCCTCTCATCATGGTCAGATCACACGCTGTTGTCCCCGAGATTCTCTTATGCCACTCCGCTCTGGAATTTGTTCAACATCTGATAAAGTCACTTGAACTCATCCCCAGTTGGAACCCAAGCTTGGTGCTAGTCCATGTGAGATGTCTGGGGAGAGGCCTTATCCAGTTATCTGGAAACAATTTGATCCTGATGCTGTTAGTGCAACCACCTGTCAATTAGATTCTTGTCCCTCCAGGATGGTGACCACCAGGTGGGTTCAGGCAGTGATTAAATCCTTACTGCAGGAGAGAACATTCCTGGGAACTTTTTAGGAGGCCATGGTTCGCCCCCTTCTAAAAGATAATCTTTTGACCCCATCTACCTGGACAGTTTTTGTCCAGCTTCCAACCTTACCTTTTTAGGGAAAGTACAATAGCAGCTTCAGCGAGTCTGATTATCTGGACCCTTCCAGCCAGCATTCAGGCCCAGGAAAGGGACAGAAAGAGCACTGATCATTGATAATCTCTAGTGATAGTGGGATGGGTGATGCAATCATCCTTACTCTTCTTGACCTCTCAATGGCCTTCACTACCATTGACTATGGTATCCTTTGGGGCCAGCTATGGGATTTGAAGCTGGGTGGCACAGTTTTGCACTGGTTTGACTCTTTTCTATGAGGCCAATTGGTGTTAATAGGGAGTGAGAGATCCAGCCCAGTCACTCCTTTGTGGCATGCTGCAGGGCTTTATACTCTCTCCACGCTCTCTCTTTTTAATATCTATCTACATGAAGCCAGTGGGTGAGATCATCTGTCACCTTGGGTTCAAGTATCATCAGTACACGGATGATGCTCAATTCTATATATCTGCTTCAACTGAACCCTAGAAAGATCAAATGACTTTTGGTACCTGGAGCTTTGAGTTCCAGGGCTTTAACATCTCTAGTTCTGGCTGGAGCTGCAGTATCCCAGACAGACCTGATGTGCTTCTTGGGGGTTCTTACGACTCCTGCTCGAACAGCAAGTGGCAGTTTTGGCTAGGAAAGCCTTTGCACAACTCCATGTTGTGCATCAATTTCATCCTTTCTTGGGTAGGGAGCCATGTGCTCAGAAATTCCAGTCCTAGTCATCTCACACTTGGACTACTGCAATGTGTCCTATATGGAGCTACCCTTGAAGCATATTCAACTGGTGCAGAATGCAGTGGCACTGGCAGTTCTTGAGGCCCGTAGGGTGGCCCATGTTACATTGCTGTTCTGAGAACTGCATTGGCTGCTGGTTTGCTTCTGGGTGCAGTTCAAGATGTCATCTTTAAAGCTCTTCATGGCATGGGTCGAAATTATCTAAAGTACCATATCAGCCATTGGGATTGGCTCACTCCACCTGAGCCAGCAGTGGGGGGGTGTCATGCTGTGCACCTTGTCAATCAAGGATTTTTGGCTCATGTGGTCCATGAGAAGAGGATTTTCTGCCATGGCTCCTGCCCATCCTGTATTCCCCAAGAGGAAATCTGCAAGGACCTGAAGATCTGGTTTTGCCAGTTGGCCTGGAGGCCCAATGGGATTCACCATTCTGAAAGTGACTATTGGATTAGGAAAGACCCACCTCTCCTCATATTTTCTGGGTTCCCTTTCTTCCCATCCTTTAACGGTATTTATTATTGTTATTTATTTTTTATTATTTTAATGTGTACTAGTTTCAATGTTTGTAAGCAGATGTAAGGTCTCTGATGAGATGGGCAGCATATAAATTTAATAAATAAATATAAATTAATAATTAACCTGAGCACTCTGATCTCCTCTAGTTTAAGGAAAAAATTCTTCAGAGCTAGTCATAATGTTTCACCTTCTGTTCTTCTAACTGACAGATATAATAATATTCCAATATATGAAGCTTTCTGCATACAGATAATCCTTGAAGTATGACAGGCCATTCAATGAACGTTCAAAGTTACAAAACACACCCCAAATGCTAAATATGAATCCATTTCATAGTTACAAATTTTGCAGCCCTCCTGTGGTCATTCGCCCTTACAACCGACTTCAGAGATGCTGCAGCAACCCACCCACCTATTTCTCCCCCATCTTGTCTGGCCAGGTCCTCAGAGGCCTCCAGAACCCAGTATGTTGGCCTGCTTTGCAATATAGTTGCTCTGTTAGCGCTAGATTTACATTAGTTTTCTGCTGATAGAGCAAAGAAGAAATTCCATCTCTTTTGCTTCCGTGGCAATCCCTTCCTCCCCAGCCAGGGTAAACCACTACAATATCTTCTTAGCACCACCAGTGTAAAAACTAGAGCTGGAAGAACTAAGGAGAAGTAGTTTATGCTGGCTGGAGAGGAAAGGATTGCCATGGAAGCAAAAGTGACCGGATATGTTCTTCTTGATTGTGCCATGTGGCCCAGAGAGGGAGCGGCCTTCTCTACACTGACTTCCTGAGTTCGTCAAAATGTAAGTAAGCGAATGGTGATGGGTGAGGTATGAAGGAGGCCCACAGGGCTTTGGGGAAACCAAGGGGCAGGAGAAAGAGCATGGGATATCTTAGAGGGTGGGAGAGGCCTACTGGGAGTGACTGTGCCTGCACTAGGCCTCCCTTGGTTTCTCCCAACCCTAAGTCAACCCATGCTCTACCCAAGAACCCACGCAGTCGTTTAACGAATGCATTGAGGAAAACAGGGACAGGGAGGTCATTAGTTAGATGCTTCATTTAACATAATCCTCAACTTCTGACATGAATGGACAGGTTCTGTTAATGTTGTAAGTCAAGGACTACCTGTATATGATTTGGCACAGACAGAGACAATTCAGCATATGCCCTTAACTGGGATTATTCCAGGAACTCTTGCAAATGGCATCTAGCATCCAACAAATGCCAGATAAAGCAAATGAGTTTTACATTAAACTGCTGCTGTTAGATACCAGTCAAGATGCAATGCAGAGTGTTGTCTTATCACCAATTTGTAAAACTGCCATAAAGACACAATAGTTTATTTCTTTGTATAATTTTGTAATTAATTTTTATAATTCATATTTTAAATTAAATTTAAATTAAGTTGTCTAACATACAAACACATAGGAAAAAAACATTTGTGTGCTGATCTTTGATCACAGTAAAAGTTTGATACCATTTATTAAAACAGAAAAGATACTTAAAGGATATGAATAAAATAATGCAAGATTTACTTGGGGTTTTGCCAGATGGGGACTGGGATGTATAATGAAAGCTACTGTTTTTAACACTAGATTAGAAATGTAATACAAATGCCCACTGTGGCTGCAAAACTCACCTCTTGTCACTTGGCTCAAATGTACAATTTACTATGATGAAGTCATCCAGATCTTGGTTTCTGTAAAGATGAAATGACGGTAACTTATTTTTAATATATTGTAAAATTAAACTGATATAAAAGCATAAGGGGAAGGCAGACCTAAAGGCATAGCTTCCTTCAAGCAAATGGAGTCTTGTGACTTTTTCTATCTTACTTACTTTATATGATCTGCAAATTACAGTAGAAACTTGTTAAGTACTGAAGCACTATATATGAGCATTTTCAAAGCAATAGCAATAGCACTTAGATTTATATACTACTTCACAGTGTTTTAGAGTCCTTTCTAAGCGGTTTACAGTCAGCATATTGTCCCCAACAATCTGGGTCCTCATTTTACTGACCTCGGAATGATGGAAGGCTGAGTCAACCTTGAGCCAGTCAGGATCGAACTCCTAGCAGTGGATAGTCAGCCTACAATGCTGCATTCTAACCACTGCGCCACTACAGCTCTAATCTCAGAAAGAGATTAGCAAAGCAGGTTTAATTACTACAACATTAAGGAGAGTTATTCACATGAATTATATTATATAGCCAAAGTCAAGTGCCTAATTGGCTACATCCTACCAAGCATGAAGTCTGTGCACGTGTTCCTGGCAAGAAAAGAAGGAAGTAATAGCAATCTTGTTAATGAAGATTTTCAGTCATCCAGGTAGACTATAAAAAGTGGAAAGAAGGGTACCTAACTAAAGCAGATTACCAGCAAATAGCCTGAAACTGCAAAGATGAAATCAGGAAAGCTAAGGCCTAAAATGAACCTAAGACTTGCAATAAATATCAAAGAATATTTTAATTTATTTTTAACATATATAAAAAAGAAAGAAGTCAAGGAACTGATTGGACCACTAATGGGAGAAGATGGCAGGGAGGTGATGGGCAGCAGGGAGAAAATGGAACTGCTTAATACATTCTTTGCGTCTATCTTTACACAAAAGAAAAAAAATAGTTCAACCTATCAAAAGCAGCACCATGGCAGACAGATTGGGAGTAGTAGTAGAAAGTGGTAAGACAATACTTGTCCACTCTAGATGAGTTCAAATAACCAGGATCAGATTGATTACATCCTAGAGGTCTGAAGGAGCTGAATAATCTTGGAACCACTAAACCATATCTCTAAAAAATCCTGGAGCACCAGGGAACTAAAATAGCAACTAAAATGATCAAAGGCCTCGAGACCAAAACATATGAAGAACAGCTGCAGGTCTTGGGTTTCGCTAGTCTAAGGAAATGAAGAAATAAGGATGACATGATAGTAGTATTCCAGTATTTGAGGGGTTGCCACAAAGAAGAGGGAGTCAAACTATTCTCCAAAGCACCAAAGGGCAGGACAAGAAACAATGGTTGGAAACTGACCAAAGAGAAGCAACCTGAAATTAAGGAGAAACTTCCTAACAGAGAGGACAATTAACCAGTGGAACAGCTTGCCTTCAGAAATCGTGGGCGTTCGATCACTGGAGAGTTTTAAGAAGAGACTAGACAGTCACTTGTCTGAAATGGTATAGGTTCTCTTGCTTGAGCAGGGGGCTGGACTGGAAGACCTCCAAGGTCCCTTCCAGCTCTGTTCTGTTCTGTTCTATTCTATTCTATTCTATTCTATTCTATTCTATTCTATTCTATTCTATTCTATTCTATTCTATTCTCTACCACAAAACTGGAAAAGAGCAGATGTGGTTCCAATCTTCAAAGAAGGGGGGAAATGGATCTAGGAAATTACAGACCAATCAGCCTGATATCAATACCTGGGAAGATCCTGGAACAGATAATCAACCTAGAAACAAGCAATGCTATTACCAGAAGCCAACATGGGTTTGTGAAATACCAGTCATGCAAACAAATCTTAGTGCATTCTTTGACAAAATGACTAAATTAGTGGACCATCACAATGCTGTAGACATGGGATACTTCAGTAAGGCATTGGACAAAGTAGACTACAGCTTACTTCTTTGTAAGAAAGAACAATATGGGATAGACACATTACCAGCAGATGAATTTGTAACTGACTGACCAACTACACTCATAATGTAGTCCTCAATGGAACTACAACTACATGGAAGAAAGCATACAGTGGACTACCTCAAGATTCTGCCTTAGACTCAGTACTCTTCAACTTCTTCATAAATGATTTAGATAAGAGAATAGAAGGTCAACTTATCATATTTTCAGTTAACATCCCATTGGAGGAAATAGATAACACTTTAGATGATAGACTCAAGATTCAGAAGAACCTTGACAGACTTGAACACTGGGCCCTACCCAACAAAATGCAATTTAGTGGTGAGAAAAGTAAAGTTTTAAACTTAGGCAAGAAAAACCAAATGCACAGATATAGAATAGATGGTACCTGCTCAACAGCAGTAATTGTGAGAGGGATCTTGGAGTCCTAGTGGACAACCACAAGAATGAGCCAGCAGTGTGCTACAGCAGCCAAAAAAGCCAATGCACTCCTAGACTACATCAACAGAGGGATAGTATCAAGATCACTTGAAGAATTAGTGCCACTTTATACTGCTCTAGTAAGATCACATTTGGAATACTGCATCCAGTTTTTGTCACCATGATACAAAAAAGGTGTTGGGTCTCTATAAAAGGTGCAAAGAGCAATAAAGGTGATTAGGGAACTGGAGGCTAAAATGCAGGAACTGGGCAGTCTAATGATGAGAAGGATTAGGGGAGATATTATAACTCTTCCAGTATTTGAAGGCCTGTCACAGAGATGGTTAACCTATTCTCTCAAACCACTTATTCTCTCAAAGCAAGGCAAGAAGTAATAGATAGAAGCTTATCAAAGAGAGTTCCAACCTAGAATTAAGGAAAAACTTCTTAACACTGAGCGAAACACATCAGGTGAAAAGCTTGCTCCAGAAATTGTGGGTACTCCACCACTGGCAGTTTTTATGAAGAGATTGGACAAACATTTGTCCAGAATGGTATCGTGTATCCTGCTTGAGCAGAGGGTTGGATTAGAACAGCGGTTCCCAACCTTTCTAAGGTCCAGTTTCCATTTACACCTAAGCATACACTGGCCCAACTTCATTTTACCAAATTGCCTTTGTCTCCAAGTCCTAAGGGAGGCAGATTTAAGTCATTCTTAACTGTACCAGTTTTGAAAAAATCTTTTTCTTCTTTTTCTGACACCATCGAAGAATAGTTTTAAGGAATATAAATTCTCTTAGTGACTGACAATGCCTTGAATGACACATTAAAAGTAAGATAGTGTTCAGCATGGAGATAGCCAAGTCATGCCATTACAAGTAGTCCTTGATTTGCAGTAGCCACCTCTGCCCACCGCCCGCTGCACCCTTGTTCACCCTCCTGCAACTATGCCCAGAGCTCACACCAGACTGGTCTCTTGCACACCTTCCAGCAGCCATCCCCAGCCTTGCAAAGCTTTGTTGTGCTGCCCCACATGTGCCTTCTCAACACCTTGCAACAACCACCTCCAGCCCAGCAGAGCTCACATCCTGCCAACCTAAGCAACATAGTCATGTGACATTATGCTTTACATCCACATTGCTTACCAACAGAAATTCTGATTCTAACTATGCACCACCCTTCTCTAAGGATTACCTGAACACTTTTCTGCAGTGTCAAGAATGGTGGAAGTAGTACAAATTAATACTAAATATCTATACCAGAAGTGAATAGAGACTTACCCCTCCTTGCTGTTATCTTTGACTGCAATTAGACTCTCCAGGTCACAACTTGTTTAAAAATGACACAAAATCAGTGTAAAGATTTCAAGCAGATAGAATTATTAATGTACTTTAATTCTCTTTAATATATTTAACATCTGAATTGCAATTGCAATTCTAGATTCTATCTGTAAGTACCGTATTTTTCGGCGTATAAGACGACTTTCTAAACCCTGAAAATCTTCTCAAAAGTTGGGGGTCGTCTTATATGCCCAGTCGTCTTATACCCCGGAATATACGATAGCTATTATTAGCAGCACTGGTTGTTTTAATGAAAAGACAAGGTATAAATTTAACAAATAATGTGTATGAATAATGTAGCTACATAATATTTAGAAAGAAGTGGACATGCATATGTATGTTTTAAAATTCAACAAGGGACTTCCAGTTTGCCATTGCAGCTGCCACGGACGTTGGAAGGCAAGCTCTGTCTTCCGCATTTGGTTTCGCTCCGCTGGGGTATAGAAAGGGCCGAAAGTCACCCGCTAGGGGCAACGAGCAAGGAGGGGACCCCCACTTGATCGCGGGGAGGCGGCAGCCCTTCTGTTCGATCTGGGGCAGCTCTTCAAACCGGCGGAGGAAAGACCAGCCATAGTAATACGGCTCGTCACTAGGCTGCAGACAGCCGAAATCCAACTCTCCACCAAGCATTTTGAAAGCAACGTGGATGAAACTGGGTGAGATCCAATTTTCTCTTTATCCTAAGCATTTTCTTTTCCTGTAAAAGCTGCCCAAAGTAGCTTTCCCCCTGTGAGGAGGGATGGAAGGGAATTCCTATCCCACCCTCTGAGAATAGCAGCGACTGACTACCCAAGGGAATTAAAGCACTAAAAGAACAACTTTAATCTAATTGGATTTATATGTTCCTGAAACTTGGGGACCAAAAATTTTCTTATTTTTATTGGAGACTTTTGCTTTTATCTACAAAAAAGAAATAAAATTGGAAAAAGGATTATAAAAATTTTGGACTTCACATTTTGAACATCTTGTGGTGAAGTTTGGTATTACAACTTGTTATTTCCTACCTTAGATAAGACTCTTTTGACCTTGGCACCACCTGTGAGAAACTCAGCTGTAAAGAGAATAGCTGGGCGGCATAACTGGCCTACTTGAACTATGAATGTAAACCTTTACTGACTTTCAGAGTTATATGTGGGGAACTGCCTTCCTATCTCTTTATTTGAGCAACATCGGTTACTATATGAGATGATGAAATACCTTGGACTATAAAATCTTCCATGACAAATGACTTCTACTATAAAGACTATAAACATGTGAAAGAGAGATCCCATACCTAGTTATAAAATTATTTTTAATGTCTGATTTTAAAGTCTTCAACTTCACACATTATTAAAAGAATATGGATGAAGAACTTTGACTACAACTAAAGAACTAATAATGCAGAAGATAACAGAAGAATGGAACAATCAAATATTAAGACAGAGGACTCAATTGACCAACAAATACAGTTAATGGAAAATCCAGAAAAGGGAGTGACAACACTGAAAATGGAAAAGATTTTCTATATAAATCAGAAGAAATTTGAGAAAGAAGAAGAACAGTTTGAATGGAAGATAAACATATCAGGGCAATCATGGGGAATTGGAATAATAGGGAGACAACTTAATGAATACAAATGGGCTAGCCCTTCCCCCAAAAATAGCAATTAAATTATCTCCTTTATTTCAAATAGCATATATAATAACAGAGGGAGATCTATTTGATGATCTAAAAGCACTAATATGGAAGACTAGTTGGCAAAGAAAGAAAGTCAGAATAAGGCTGAAGAAAATTGGGGTTTTGATTTATTAGAGGGGATTTCCTATTATTAATTAGAGAGTTAAAGAGAGAAGTTGAGATAAGGGGAATTTTGGTCATTAGATTTAAAATATTTGGAAATTAGTTGAAAATAAAGATTTTATCTGTTTAACATTTAAAAATTAGACCTAAAAGAAAAAAAATTAATTATTATGAATATTTTTGATTTATTGACTAATCCAGGCAATATATTTAATAGTTTTGATTTATTAAAGGGGATATTGTATTATTAAGCAGGTGATTTAATATGGTGGGAAATAGATAACTTTTAGGAAATAGAACAAGACTATATTTAAATAGATAAAATGTGTATTTTGAATATTAGATTCTGTTATGAATTGAGATAAGGGAAATTTTGGTTACCTAAAGCCTGAAAATTATAAATATCAAATGTTAAATTGGAATATTGATGGGAAACTAAAAATTGGGGGGAAATTAATAACAGGATATGGATTGTTTATGAAGATTGAATGTAAAAAGTAATTAAGATATGTATAAGCTAAAAATTTATTGATAAATGTAATAATGATGTTTTTACTGAGTTGATATAGTAAGAACTGTATTAGCTTAAATATGAGAAGTAGATGTTAAGGGAAAAAGAGAGGAAATATTTGATCTTGTATCTTGAGATTTGTAGTAAAGATTTTTATATGTTATCAAACTATTGATTAACCCAGCCACCACATTGCTTTTTAAATACTTAAATGTAAAATTGGAAAATTAATAAAATATTATTTTTTTAAAAATCAACAAGGAAACATAAAAGATTGCCTCCTTATCAATGGTAGATTCATATTTTTTTTTTTGACCCGGTGGAGTGACAATGACAAGGAAAAATTAAAATAATACTCTTTTCAAAATACAATCTCAGTGCTGATTTCACTTGAAGACTTACCACTTCTCTTCCCATTTAGAGGTACGATTCACTTTGATATAGTCATCCACGTCTTGGTACCTGCAAATTTGAAACAAAAGCCAAGGTGATTTATTCTCAATATACTCTGAAATTTAGCTGATAGCCGAGAAGCTCCAAAAGTCTCTAATAGCTACATTCTAACAGCTGTTGAAAGGTCCAGTTCCAAGCTGGGAGAAAAGGCGCTGGAAATAAAATGGAGGCTAGCTGCTTAGAAAGAAGGTCTGTTTATTGATGAGCAGAACCAGCAACAGCATGCATTTCTGGGACAGCTGACAAAATGTTGTTGGGAGTAGGTGGGTTTTTATACATTCTTTGAGGCTTTGTGTTTGAGATGCCTGTTCCTTGTGAAATGTACTTTGACTTTTGCTTGAGTGTGCCCTTTTAGTATTCTAATTATTTGCCCTGTCCTTGGAGCAGGGTGGGGAATGTGGATTTTAGGAGTCTTTGTTTTTCTAATCCCATCAGCTCCAGCCTTCTATGGGAGCTGTGGCTGAAGGCGTTTTTGCTTATGAATAGGGTGGTCCAGTCTTTCTGAATGGATTACAAAATCTCCATTTCTAAATATTAGCCTCTTCAGGTTTCTGCTTGAGGCAGGAAGACTGTGGATGTTTCTGCTTTTGTTAAGATTTTTTTCTCCATTTCTCGTCTAGGAGAAATATTCTATCCTGCCTCTTTTAATATTCTCCAAAATATTTCATTCTCCGGGGGGGGGGTGCTGACTTCCTCCATGGCTGTGGGTCTATCTTTCCTACTTTTTAAAAACTTTACAAGCAATTTACAAGACAAACCCTACCAAGGATGGTCCTTCCAGGAAATCTTTGAAGATGATAAGGTCCATGTTCAGAGAGTGGAGGAAGGCACAAAGGGAACAGCTATCCTTTATTTTATAAAGATTTATAAAGATTCAACCAGAAAAAGTGAAGGAATTTTATGAAACGTAAATAAGGAAGCCTCTTCCTGAGACAACTGCTAGAATTTATTCAAAGTTAGTGTCACGCTGTTGCAATATAAGAGCCACATCTTTTGCATGTGTGTGTGCAGTATGATGTCATACATACAAAAGGGATGGATTTTGCAAGGTCAGTTTTACACCACTTTTGTATGTATCATCTCTCTCTACAGATAGCCCTGCCCTCCTCCTCTTCCACATTCACCCTCTGTGCTCACTTCAGCCATCTGCCAGCCCTTTGGTAGATCAGATAAGGAAATAAACATTGCAAGGACTATTGGAACTCTGTAGTAAGCTGCCAGACTCTCCCTCTGCCTCCACTTACACCGTACAGAGTCAAGGCAGGGTTATTTTGGGTCTCCTTCTCACAGTCTCATTTTTCTCAGGTACAAGGTGTTGCTTACTGTCTCTTTTATCTGTGAATTGCTGATTCCAAAACATGAAATCAACCTTTTTATTTAAATGTGTAAACCATGGCTGGGAACATGTGGGGAGCTCAGTACCAGGTAAGGCAAAAGGGAATTTGTTTGCCTTACATCTCCCCCCCCCCCACATGCCTCCATTTCTGTGGAGAAATTCATTGTTTTCAGGATGAATTGAAAGAGAAAAGGAAGGGAGTCTGAAGATCAGAAGGTCCCTTAAAAGGAAGCTTGGATCTCCCCACCATCCCAAAAAAAAAAAAAGCTAAATTGTAATCATGAAGAGGATTTTGAATTCTGTGAATTGTTGTTTGGGCAGATACAGGGGAACATTTTTCTAAAACCCTCCTTCAGGATTTAATGCTTTATTTTAAAGCATACATGAGAGTAAAATGTTTCAATACCCCAAAGGTTTTTGTGCTTGGAATTGTCTCTAGTTTTCAGAGTTTGTTCCTATGGTATGTTGGTTTTTTGACATGATTTTCCAGAAATCTGAACTGTCCTTTTAAACTATCTTATCAAATACAATTTCTAAAGTTCCACCAGAGATTCTAGCAGCACTGTAGGATTATTATTATCCAATAGTGGGTTATTTCCATAGAAATCTGCTTAAACTCAAAGGAAAAGTTTTATTCCTCTTATTTTTAAAAGTTCACAACTAATGCTTCCTCTATTGTTCTGACTTTCAACAGAAGGAGGCACTGCAGGAAGTTCAGGAGACAGTGCTTCAGTCATATTGTCCCTTTGATCTCGCAATACAAAAGCCTCTGACTGAAATGACCCAACACAAAACTGGTCTACTTAAATTATCCAAAAACTGAAATTGATGCAAAATGCAGCAGTCTCATATTACCTGGGATCACTCTATATTACTATAAAGTTGGAAGGGACCTTGGAGATCATCTAGTCCAGTGGTTCTTAACCTGGGCGATAGCGCCCCTCAGGGGGCGATTTCATTTTTCAGGGGGGGCGATGGAACAAAAAGGGCTGACTCAGGGGCAAAGGAACAAAAAGGGGGCAATATGGGAACGATGGAGCGAGAAGTTTTGGGGACACTTTTGAGACTTTTTCGTACAGTGAATCGCTGCATATCTGTCATACAAAAATATCAGATTGCTTGCTATTAGTGGATTGAATTGTGTTTCCAAATGTTCCTCCAGCTAGCTTCAGTACAGAACTCCATACGTATGTGAATACGCATCACTTATCTTCATGCGCGTTGCGCAGCAGCCTCTACCCTTTTTATATTTCTTTTTGCGTCTTAAATTTCACTTGTAATTCAATCATTAAATGTTACTGTTTTTCTTTTCAGGCATTTCACTTCCTTGCAATTGAATTTTGTTTTCGGTGGTCATTACATTAAAGTGTCTTGAATAAATAAGATAATAATGAAATATATGTATCACAAAGTTTGGGAATAAAGTGACGGGTGGCACCAAAAATTTTCAAACAGTTGAGATCTGGGAAAAAGACTGGAAATAAATTATTTGCATCGATATGTCCTGATGACAATTTTAAAAAAAACAAAAAAAGTGTTTGCATAAATTGAAGAATTATTTCCTATGTTGTGATTGAGAGGTTATGTTGGGGGGAGGGGGTGATGACAACTTCCACATTGGCTCAAGGGGGCGATTCTTTCAAGAAGGTTAAGAACCACTGATCTAGTCCAACCCCCTGTTCAGGCAGTAAACTCTATCTTACTAGTTATTACACTGAGATGACATGTCAAGAAAATACACTGCAATTCCTATCTTCTAGTTCTCTTCATAGTGGCATATAAGCATGCAGTATGTTATGTTAGCATAAAAGTCACTGGGCCGTACCTACTTATTTAACAGATCAGACTTTTTATAATGTTAAATATTTTTCTGAGATATAACTCATAAAATTTATCCAGATCTGAGGAAGGCACATAAACTGTAACAAAATTTAAAAGATCAGTCTCAGAAAAGTTACAATTCTCTATCAAACCAGGTACCTTTCCAGCTCATGCATACATACCTTTTATTTATCCTGCTATCTATGACAGGTGGGATATTTGCCTTATCAGTACCACTTCTGCCCGAAATCCTAAATAGCAAAGACAGTTTTCACATTAGACATAGACTAGTTTGTTTTTAAATTAAAAGGTTACTATCTTTTAAAATTTAAAAAGTAGCTTTAAAATTAAAAGCAAGTATTTCCTTCAAATAAATTAGCTTTTTCATGCAATTCTCCAGTGACCTTGAGAACAGCACCATGTTACTTAGGAAAGTTTTTTCTAACTTAGTAAAATATTATTTTATCAATTGAATTTATTATTTTTCTTCTATCAGTGTTCCATAGCAGCAAAATTAAAATATTCTACCAAGTCCTTTTACAAAGAAGCAAAGTGTCTCTGCAATTAAAGTGATCCCTTACCACTTCAAATGTTCCATTAGTCATCAAACATAATTGATTGGGAAGTTTACTGTACCATAACCTAAAGACACCCATCATACACAAATTCTTTTAAAACATCGAACCAAAGAGGGACATATGTTTAACATTGATTTTCTTTAAGCCAACCAAAGACAGAACATAAGGCCTTTCCTGGCACATGTTTGCTGTTGACTTAAGCGTGGTCAGGGACTAATCTGATTTCCTGCATTCCCATGACATTCAAACACAAACCCAGCATGCTTACAGCTCAAATGGCTGTTGGTTTGGCTATGGGCCTCTGACTGAGTGAGGAGGATGCGGCTGGCCTGCACTGTTCCTCCGTCTGTGAGCCCAGCAGAGAGGAAGAGGTGCCCTGAACTGCTTCCCCCTTGTTCACAAAGAGCCTCTATTCTACAGCCATAGGAGCCATTGAACTGTCTGCACTGAAGTGATTCTGAGAAACCCTGAACCTTCAAAGGCAACCAGGAGATAGGCATAACGGGACTTCTCTAGTGACACTCATAGAAAATGAAGAACAGCAATTCAGAAGAGGCAAGATTCATGGCTACAACCTGTTGGGAGTCACTTATCACCACAGTTATGGCATGATTACAAATGTTAGAAGGAATACAGAGTATGCCTCCTTATTGTCAGTCTCTACAAACAACAGTATACATGAAGAAGTTTCAAAACTAGGCGATCTAACAATAGTGAACATCCTTAAACCACCTCTGGCAGCATGGCCACAGCATGTCCTGAACATCAAGCCTCACCCAACAATCTACACGGGTGACTACAATAGCCACCATGTTAAGTGGAAATACTGTTCCACTGATGACAACAGTGAACAATTGTCCAATTGGGGTGCAGCAAACAAAGTTCAATTGATTTTTGATAAAAGATAAGGGCATGTTTAAATTAGTGGAATGGAATTGTGAAACCAATCCAGACTTGTGCTTTGTTAAGAAGGCCCAAACTCTCAGCCAATCCCCATAAACAGGAAGATAATGGATATATTTCCACACAGCCAATACTATCCTATCTTGCTAGAAGTTGGAATCCAAATTCCCCTAATTCGCTCTACCCCTAGACCCAGATGGAACTTTCAAAAATCCAACTAGCCCAAATTTGCCAAAAATCTTTATAAAACTATACAGCGGATTCCACCAATTAGTCAGCATTATCATAGATTTGTGAAGGCAATAATCACCTCAGCAAAAAGATATACCTCAAGGGTATGGAATGAAAAAACTGAATGGCTTTACCAGATCTTCTTACATAGCGGTGATCCAGAGATCGCTGACAATCTCTTACACAGTGGATACACTCAATGTAATAAATGGGGACAACACAGAGAATCACTAAATTTCAGCAAATCCAGCAGGAAAATTTGGCGCATATTAAGGAAATTGGGTGGAGCTAGAAAACCTGCACAACAATCACCCAATGTAAGTCCTAACCAAATAGTCTCTTGAGTTGTAACTCTCTACAAAGCTCCAAGGGTGAAAGGACACTCCTCTCTCATCAAGAAAACACTTTCAGCTTTTTGACAGTCAAACTGAATGCTTTCTGAGTACTCTTGTTCCTTCTCTTTAAAGGAAATTGATACTGTCATTGGTAGTCTGAAATATGGTAAAGCACCAGACTTCAATAGGATTCATCCAGAATTCCTGATAAACTCTGGGAGGTACACACAGAATTGGATTGGTAAATTCCTCTCAGACACAGTTTCCAACATTTGCCTCCCACCAGAATTCAAAACAGCTAAAATAATATCACTTTTAAAACCTGGCATACCACAAGATAGAGTTGAAAGCTACTTTTGAGCTCCTACTACAAACTCTTGGAAAGATTAATTATAAATAGGATAAATCCCATAAAAATGACATTTGCCCATGGAACAAGTTGGCTTCTGACAAGACTGGAGCTGTGTGGATCAGGAGCTAAGCCTAACAGGCTATATTGAAGCAGGATTCCATTGAGGCCTCAAAACTATGGCTGTGTTTCTAGACCTAACTGCGGTATACAACACTGTTTGGAAGGATGGGTTGTTACATAACTGTGCCATATTATCCCCTACAAAAAACTCTATCAACTAATTAATAATATGCTGAGTGATAAGTCATTTCAGATAATAAAGGGGACAACATAAGTAAGATACACTACATTATTCAACTTATATATATCAGATATGCCGGCACCAAGGGGATGCAAATTTGGATATCTGATGATTTGGCCATAGCATTATAAGAAAAACCATGGAGGTGGCAGACAGCCTCCTGTCCCAAGATCTTGGGAAAATTCTTCACTGACCGGAGGCTCACTTCTAGCACCAGCAAAACAGTAATTATGTGCTTCCACCTTAACAACCAACTATCATATGAAGTGCTGAAGGTCTACTTAAACAACATCTTACTCCCCTATAATCCCCATCAAAAGTACCTTGGAGTAATATTGGACCAGACTCTCTCCTATAAGATTCATCTAGAATATGGCAACAAAAATAATACTAGGAACAACATATTCCAAAAATTATGTGGAACTAAATGGGGAGCTTCAGCTGCCACCCTCAGGTCAGCAGGCAAGATGCACTAGTGAGAGAATACAGAAAAAATATGAACAATTCACTCTGATCACTGCATGCCGTTCTTCCTCTTTTATCAGCAGGAAGACTTAAATCCAGGAAACCCCCAGTGCCACTTGCACAACATCTGCCTGACAACTTTAATGTCAATTCCCAAAGGAAAGTCAAATGGGTCATTAACACCCAGACATAGGAGGACATATAAATGATGCCACATAAAAAGGTGCCAGGGCTGGAACTACCACATCAGCAATTGACAATCCTGAATAGGATTCGCACCTCACACGGCATCTGACAGGATTATTTGTATAAGTGGGGCATGGTATCCTCCCCTCAGTCTGACTACAGGATCCCACATCAAACTGTAGATCAGATTGTGAGTGGCTGTAAGCTGAGGGCATACGCTGGTCCAGTATCTGATTATTTTCCTATAAACAAATGCTGCATTTCAATGGTTAGATGGCTTAGACATTGGTATTTGAACATAGATCTTTTTAATATTTATATTTTATTGCATCTTACTACTATAGGCAAAATATTAATATTTATTACTACACGTATGATATGCCATACAGTAAATAAATGAACAAGGGCCATTCCTTGTGACAACAGTTCATATGGCAGCTCCACTTACGGGAGCCAGTAGATGCTCAGGCCTTTTTTATGGCCTCTGCTGAAGCCCTGGCTAGGTTTTCATTTATCACATATGGTGTAGTAATTCCTGCAACATATGATTCTATGACAAAGTAAAAAATTCTTTCCTTGTCTTTCACTGAAAAGATGCAGTTATCAGGCTCTTGCTTTCAGGACTGAATGCAATCCTGTACATATTTACTGAGAAAGAAAAGCAGAATTCACACAACTAGAACATTTTAATTTCTAGCCACATAACTTTAAAAGTAACACGTGACCTTATTGCAACGCATCTATTCTACACCATATAGAGAAAAGTTTGTTTTTTTATTCTCTAGTATCTATTCTACACCATATAGAGAAAAGTTTGTTTTTTTATTCTCTAGTAAAGAAATGCATGCATTTTCTCCCTTTTGAATACACTTTATTATTAACTCATTCTTTGGTATTAAGCCATGCAGCATAAGATGCTAAACTAATTTGGACCATATTCCTGTGAAGTTAACATATTCTTTTGGCAATATTTTTTTCATTAAGTAATTGACAATAGCATTTTTCTATATTAAATTGGACTTGATTTTAACATGTGTCCTTGGTACACTACACATTCTGTTTTGTTTTTTAAAAAAGTATCCTGAACCTGAGAACCGCATCATAACACTTAGGAAAGTACAAAATACAAGAGGCAGTTAAACTGTAACCCAGCCCTGGTCTGAGAAATATAGAACTGATGTTTTTATAGCATAATTTTAATTAATTTCTTCAGACAATCTTATACAAAAAACTTCAATCTGTAAGAGCCAAACCAGATTGTTACTCTCTGTGGCATTTATTATCAAGCTTTATATTCTACCTATCTTTCAAATTGTTTTGAAGATTGTGTGTCTTGACAACAACTTTCCAAATTAGCTTAACTAATTTAAGGATGCCAGATCTGTGATGCAAATCAAGATTACTACTGCCAGATCTGTGGTGCAAATCAAGACAACTACTATATGAAATAGGAGCAGAGAGTTTCTCTACCTCTTTGCTGCTGGCTAGTATTTCCAAACCTACAATTGAATTGAATCTGCAATCCTCTCTAACCTGTTTCATAAAATCATAATCATCATTTTAGCCATTGTCTATCCACTGCAGGGTGAAAACCTCTTCCGTGTCTTGAGTTTTCATAAAATATATTGGCTTAAATCACTTTTGAGTACACATATATAATGGGTTAAATTGCAGATGTGCTTAAAACTTAGCAGAGAGATTTAATTCAAATATAAAACTATGTTACACCATAGTCATAAAATGTAAAAAGAAATACTTAAATTAATAAAGCTTTTTAACCTGAAGAAATTTACTTTCATTGATTGCATAATACAAAAGCAAAACAAAACCAATGTAAATTAAATTTTTACCTGTCTAAAGTAGTATCAGATCTATATCGATTAAGCCTAGCTTTCTCATCATTCTCCCCTTCTAGGTTCCTATTATTAAAAAAGAAAGATTAATTCATGATAGTTAATAATTATTAATTAATAATTAGTTACCGTCTCACAGAAGTAAGACATCTACCAGCTGATTAGCCAATATAAAATTATCTTTGGAACTATGGAATAAACTAAAGTAAGACAGCATCTCTGTTAATATAATGAATAAAATATAATTAATAATATTGTCTTTAATAACACATTTAATATCTTTAAATTATCTTCACAATTAATAATAATAATAATAGTTGGAAGGGACCTTGGAGGTCATCTAGTCCAACCCACTGCTTAGGCAGGAAACCCTATACCATTTCGGACAAATGGCTGTCCAGTCTCTTCTTAAAAACTTCCAGTGTTGGAGCATTCACCGCTTCTGGAGGCAGGTTGTTCCACTGATTAATTGTTTCTACTGTAACTGTCAGGAAGTTTCTCCTTAGTTCCAGGTTGCTTCTCTCCTTGATTAGTTTCCATCCGTTGCTTCTTGTCCTGCCTTCAGGCACTTTGGATAATAGCTTGACTCCCTCTTCTTTGTGGCAGCCCCTGAGATATTGGAACACTGCTACCATGTCCCCCCTTGGCCTTCTTTTCATTAAACTAGACATACCCAATTCCAGCAGCCGTTCCTTATATGCTTTACCCTCCAGTCCCCTAATCATCTTTGTTGCTCTTCTCTGTACTCTTTCTAGAGTCTCAACATCTTTTTTACATCGCGGTGACCAAAACTGGATGCAGTATTCCAAGTGTGGCCTTACCAAGGCATTGTAAAGTGGTATTAACACTTCACGTGATCTTGATTCTATCCCTTTGTTAATGCAGCCTAGCATGTGTTGGCCTTTTTGGCAGCTGCAGCACACTGCTGGCTCATATTAAGTATGCTATAAGTATGCATTAAGTATGCTATAAATGAGAAAAGTGTACGCTTTTGTTATTTATGTCTAAATTATATAAATTTAAATAAGTTTATGTTGAATCCAAGTCATAGTAACGAATTCCCAGCTGAGATTTCAGCAATCTCAGATTTGTTATTTGCAACATTTTTACAGACTGTCTCTATCACAAATGACAGGAATTGCCTGAATCCAATTATACAAAACTAGAAACATAGAAAATAGAGACGTGATAGCAGAAGAAGACTTAGTAATCCATCGAGTCTGCCCTTTGAGTTTATTTGGTTTTTGTTTTCTTTTTATAAATTTATTATTTTTAATTATTATTTTTATATTTTATTAATTTTATTTTATCTTTTGATTTTTGATTTTTGTTGCATGATGGACATGTGTTTATCCCAAGCATGTTTAAACCATATAATTGATACTTTCATCCTTAAAATAAATAAAATAACTTCTTTCCACAATTTGATTATATGTTGTATGTGAAAACAAAACGAAGATAGAATCACTTTCTATTTTAGTTACCATAACTGAGCTGAAAAAGTTAGTTTCTGAATGGCCGGAAATGGAAACAAGGAATTTGTGTTTCCTGATCTGTCTTCTATGGGTCATCCAAATGTTTGCAGCCTAGGTATGGCAGCCATAACGTATTTAATTAAATTAACACCAGCAATATCTCAGTTTAATGAATAAACTATTCAAGAGGCAGGCTGTACTATGTTTTCCTATTCTACAAAACTCATAATAAAAAGGGATCCCACTTTTATTGCAAATTCAATGTAAATTCTTTCCTTTTGAAAAATCCTCTAAAAAGATTGATTGGTTCAACTTCATTTTAAAAATTATATAGTGCAATATATTATTAATTAAATTACTTATAGATTTTGACTATCAAAATCTCCCACATCATGAATTAATGCGTATGTCAGACTTCATAATTATTTTAAACAATGAAGAAATTACTGCAGTATAATCAAGTAACAGAAAATGCCAGTATCTGAATTAAACTAAAGGCCTGACTTTGCTCAGTTAATACATTGGATTCTTATTACAAATTATTAACAGAACAATGAATTGCAACAATGCAGATGAAATGTGCATAGGAAAGAATATATACATTATTATGATACTCTACCTGTGCAAGCTTTCTTGTGATTTATACTGATTAAGAACCACTTTGCCATAGTTTTCATTGGTGCTGCAATAAACAAAAATTAGATATCACCCTTAAATATAGCACAGGCAGTCCTTGACTTCAATCACAATTGGACTGGAAAATTCATTGTTCACTGGTGTGGTTGTTAAGTGAGGCATCATGTGACTGCACCTGATTTTATGACCATGTTTACCATGATTGTTAACTGAGACCTCACGGGATCTTGATTTTTTTTATCTTTCTTGCTGGTTTTCCCATTGATTTTGCTTATTGGAAGCTGGGTGGAATGGTTGCAAATGACAATTATCTGACCTCGGGACAAAAATACATGCTGGATGCCAATGCCTGAATCATAATCATGTGACTGATCATGGGGACGATGTGACAGTTCTAAGTGTAAGAATTGGTTGTAAGTCACTCAACGCAGTCATAACTTTAAATGGTTGCTAATTGAATGATCATAAGTTAAGGACTACCTGTAAAGTGGATTATACAACATAACAATAGTTTAGGGAACTGGATTTTTTAAAGCTGTAAGTGTTAATGATACTTTCAAATCTGACTAATGCAATATGCTTTAATTATTTTAAAGTGGACTTTAGCCTTTCAGAGCCTTTCTCTATTACCAAATTACATTACTTATGGGATCATCTCTCCCCAATTGTTTCTACCCACTCTGTCCAATCTGGCAGTAAGGAGATGATGCATGGATTTTACATAAGAATTCTAGAAAAAGTTGCAAGATCTGACTATATTGCCAAAAAGTCAATAGATTCTTTTCTTACCCTTCCTCCTCAGGCCTTTTCTTTATCCAGCTATTGTCTTGTAAAAGGGTTCTTCGCTTGTTGACCTCATTAATAACTTGCTGTCTGCTCTTCATTGCAAGGGAAGCATTCTTAGCATCTGTAAATACATTGGTAGTATATTAGACAGTACATACTGTAGTACAAAGTAATTAAATCTTTTTTGGAACATCACAGAGTTTAGATGTCCCAGGAGTCATCACTCCAATTTCTGAGTTGGCAGAAAAGTGTGCCAACAAGATTTGATGCCTCAACTGCCAAACTCAATTCTGTCTCAGGAATGACGTTGGCAAGTGGTACAGTTTTTTTTATAGTTTTAAAGTTTATTGTTTTTACATGTTAAGGACAGCATTTGTGAATTCTTCTGGTTTTGTTCCAACTCCACTGAATGTTACCTGCTAGTGGGAAAAATATCAATTGTGTGATGGGGAGAGAATGAGTGGATATAGAAGGGAGCTTGGGATGGAGGGCTTAACCATCTTTTAAGTTTCCAAATGACATGTGGCTACATCTGAACTCAAGTCTGAATAGAATGCCAAATCTGTCCATAACTTGTGCTTTCTTCCATAATGGTTTTCAGCTCCCTGGTCTATCCTACAGCACTGGTTAGCTACCCATCCAACTACTAACTTAAAATATTTGCTTAACTTGGCTGCTTAGCTTCCAAATCTAGAAAAGGTCAGCCCAGTACTCATTTTCAATATATTTGTTTCTTCATTATTTTTCTTCTCAAACTCTTACAAAGTGCAACATTTCAGCATGTCTATTTAAAAGTAAACCATTCTGAAGTTATGTATTATTAAACTTAAATGCCACCTATCTCACTCTGAAAAGTGACTGATTTGACAGAACAAAGTTCCAAATTAGTTTGTGCAAGAATACAACCAGATACATTATTTGAAATGTATCCAAGGTACATTTTTCCATCATATGGACAGCTATATACACTTCTGCTGTTGTAAAGAACACATAATTACTGAACTTTTCTTTAAAGAAGCAATTTTCTTGTAATTTAGACTCATGCTTCTGGCAATTACTGTCATCAATTAATACCTATTAACAATTAAGATTATTAACCTTTAACTCCATAACCTATAAAACAATTCTCTATAATATTTAATATTCATTCATAAAATAAATGAAACTTTTTAATTCCAATTTTTTTTCCTTTTTTTCCTTTTTTTTCTTTTTTCTTAATTATTAAAAAAAATTTTTTTATTAACCCTGTATTCTGCTCTGGGAAGTGAAGGGAGGGGGGTTGGGGGTGGGAGGGAGGGTAAGGGGTTTTTTTTTACTTTAAAATTTTATTGTATTTTTATAAATGATTGTATGTTTTAAAAAAATAAAAAATTTTCAATGAAAAAAAAACAATTAAGATTATTAAGACTATGGTTGATCACAAAGTCAGTCAGATGTTTAGACTAGATTTGGTATTTTTGTCCCTCGATCAAGTCCTTCCTAAGGAAAGGCAGATGTTGTTAGATAGTATTAAAGGTACTGTAAGCTGTTCCAAGTAAAGTTTTCTTTTGCATGACCAATATTGAGTTTGTCAATGTTCAATGTTCAACTAGTGCTCCAGAGGTTTTGCAATTGCACTCAAGGTTCCTATTACTATTGGTGCCTGATGCTGTCAGCTTGAAGAATGCCCAGGTATTTGTAGTGATAGTCATCCAGACTCCTGATGTTATTTCTATAGGGCATCTTTCTTTTTTCATTATTTTTTCCCTTTAATAGTGAGTGAGCATGGCATATTTCTCCAATCCAAAATACATTCAATATTTTGGCTATAAATATGGACAGTGTCTATTTCAGAGGTTGTTTTCTTAGAGTGCCAGATCATCCATATAAAGGAGGTAGGGTAGCCTGGCAAATGTTTTTGATGTTTGATAGCCATGACCTGTATTGTTGATAGGAATCAGTGCAATGACAAACAGTGGTGATGATAGTGAGTCTCCCTGAAAGATTCCTCTCTTAATATTAACCTCTTCCAATCTATTATCATTGACAGCAGCTGTGTCTTCCATTGGGCCATTTCTGATGTTTCTACTGTCTCCTGTTATTTCTAGCCATTTAATTACCCAATTGTGTGGCAGAGAGTCAAATGCCTCTTGTAATCAATCCATGCTACATTCAAGTTGGTTTTCCTTTTCTTGCAGTTTTCCAAAATCATCTTGTCAATTAGGAGTTGATCTTTTGTTCCTGTGCTGTTTAGGCAGTTTTCTTTATGCTTAGATGGAAAGAGCTTTTTTCAACTAGATTCTGCTGGACTACATCAGCTACCATAACAGTTACCAAATTGAAAGTAGCAGATAATTAGCCTGTCATTGCCTGGTGCTGCCCCTTTTGTTCAATCTTTTATTATCAGGTAGGTTTTGCTAGATCAGTCCAGCAAATTTCACCTCCTTGTAATGTGTTGTTAAATTACTTGGCAATAAGTCAATGTAGACCAGTTAGATGTTTCAGCCCAAATCCAAGTAATTCATCTTTACCTGGAGCTGACCAGTTCTTGATCTTCCTTGCTTTTTTCTCCACTATATCTGCTGTTATTACAAATTCTTTCATTTCAGCTTCTTATTTATTCATATCCAAGCTACATCCTTTTTGTATTTCTTTATATTATTCCATATCTGTGCCCAGAACTGCACTGTTTCTTCCTTGTCAAGTGTTGAGTGATTCACCAATTGGATTGAAATTGGACATTCTGCCTATAATTTGCAATTCAAACGTCGTATCTGCTGATCTTCTTGACTATAGCTGTTATTTGCTGCTTCATTATTTCCAGTGCTTCCTTGATCTACTTTGTTTCTAAGTGACATTTTTGATCAGGTGTTCTTTGGTCTTCTTGTTCTTCAGCTTCTTTTCTTTCATCTAGCTTGCTTGCATCTGATCTCAGCTTGCTGATCTTATTTTCCAACCTGATCTTCCACTTTGGTGATGCATTGTTTGGCTTTTTTTTCTCCTTTGTTGATTTTGCATCCCAGGTATTCAATTAGAACTTACTGTATATTAGTCGGTTTATATCTTGCAGTGACGTGGTACTTATATTCCATATTACAGTATTTGCATCTTTTAATGCTTGTGTGAGCTATTTCTTTGGAACAAGCTTCAATGCAGACAACCTTATTGTGTTGTTTTTCTGCTGTTCTAGATACTCAGTATTCTTTATTTCAATTCTTCATTAGTTAGAAAACTTTGTTCTTCCTGAGGAAGAGGAGAGGGTGCCTGGTTTCAGAATGAAAACAATTCATTAGCTATGCTGGCTTCCTCTACTGCCAACTTTTCTATTCTTCATTTGTTCTTTTTTGTAGACCATATTGGTTGCAGAGTCATTCTGGATTTGGCATTTTTGTCCACCTATTGAGTCCTTCCCAAGGGCAGATGTGGATGTTTGTTAAAGCTGCCTTTTGTAACACAGAAAACAACAGAATAAGGTTGAATTTGTCATTGCCAATGGTATTCAAGTGGAGCTCCAGTTGTTATTAACATTATTATTAATTAATTATCAATATTATTAACAATTAACTATCAACATTAACAATTTGTAATCAGGCTTCCTCCCTAGTTAACATATTTTATATATTGAACACTCTCTTGTTTGCACCAATGCAAGTAAAGTTTCGGAGTAATTTTCTTAACTTAAAATCAAGCTGCTAGTTAATCACAATGTTTAACACTGTTGCTAAAATAACTTTTATAGCTTAAGGAAGTTTAATCAATGCAGTTGCAATAAAACTGCATATTTTATTCTTAATACAAGAAAGCATCAATCTGCCCTATGCACATGCACGTGCACGCACACAAACACACATGCCCACTCTTGCATATCATTGCAAGGTATTCATATTTCCTTTTTGTTATCAATTAGTGCAATTGAAACAAAACTGAAAGAGGAATTATATTACCATTTTTGTTATGCGATGATTTTCCTACAGTGAATGTTGTCATTTTATTCAGGGCTATATCCAGGTTTGTCCTAAAATAAAGTAAAAACACAAAAATTAAATGATCAAAAAACAGAAAATGGCCTCAGAACGCATCCTTTCCCTGCACCACCCACATACAAGAACTTTGCTGGATCAGATGAAACACAAACTGGCTTCTGTTCCTAGAGTGGCCAACTAGTTACATTTAAACAAGATATGAACCCAATAATTTCCCTTAATGCAGCTCTTCCAGCCAATGGTCATTGGCATTTTGTCTCTGAGCCTGGAAAGAGCATAACCAAAATGACTTACATATGGATTTCTGGTCCCATCTGTAGTCATTTAGTTGAGGACTACCTTTACATTGTAATAGTGAGCCAAGGCCTGAAACATGCCTAAAATTTTAGAAGTGTCCACCCAAAAATGAAAAGCTAAAAATTTGCAAGCATCTATTCTTATTAAGACTATTACTATGGAAGTAATGTCACTACACCTCATCTAGCTCATTCAGTCATTTTACTATGACCAGGCAGCCACTCTAAGAACAGAATATGGTTCAGAATTGAAAAAGGCACTCTACAAGGTTGCATCCTGTCACCTATTCCAAGGGTTCCCAACCTGTGGGCCACAGCCCACTAGTGGGTTGTGAGGGGTTTGCAACCAGGCCATGGAAACAGCTGGCAAGTGCACACAGGCATCTTTACACAAGCAATGGGTGGGCATGCACGCTCCATTTAAGTGAGCAGCAGGTGCACGTACACACTGCTTGTGCAAATGGAGTTGAGTGCACTTGCCGGCCGCTTGCACAGAACCATCCACTCCTCCCCCCCACTGTTCCGGAAAACTGGAAACGTTGGAAACTCTCAATAAAAGTAGATTTGGTCTTCCTGTGGAATTGATTTCTTGTTTTAGTCTAGCTGCTGAAGCTGACATTGACTGGACTAGTTTCTCTCAACCCAACCTACCTCCCAGGGATGAAAACTTTGAAAAGGCACATACATTGCCTTGACTCCCATGGAGATAAACTGAAATTTAATCCCTAAAAGATGCCATAACTTAAAATTAAATCCCATCTTTTAGGGATTAAATTTCAATTTATCTCCATGGGAAAGTCTAGAAAACAGAGAGAACTGTACATGAAAAATATAGCAAACTCCAAAGATCAATGGCTCATAAAAGTATTCTATTTTAAGTTCAAGCAAGCAAAATGCTATTGGTAAGCTTTCCTCCCAAATTTCTACTTATGCCACTTTCATTTGGATTCTGTTGAGAAACACCCTTTCCTTCCCATTTTCACTAGCTGGACTTGGTATTGCTGTGCTGACTTCAAACTTGCTTATATAAAACTTAGAACTTAGCTCCGTGATCATAGAATAAATAAACATATTTGTCCTTTCCATTTATATCTTATTACAAAACAGTTCATTCACGTAGCTTTATAGAAGAACATGGGACTTGTAAGCTTTATCTCTAGCTCAGTGCAATTGCTCAAGACTTATACAGTTTAATGTAAGAAAATTTTGGAAAACACCACTTTGTATGAGATCAACAAATAATGCAAATCACTCTGAACTCAGTGCCAAACTGCAAATAAAAGTTTACGAGTGTATTTGGCTATTTATTACTTTTGTTATGATCTCAGATTTTTTTTAAAAAAAAAATTCACGTGAACTTTTTTTTTAGTTTTTATAAGCATATCCTGTTTGCACAGAAAAATATTACTAGGCTATGATAATTAATAAAGTACGGGATTCGGAAATGAGATAGAAGGAAGGAATGCAAAGGATGTAAAAGTTATTATATATGTAGAGGGAGGAGGAAAAGAAGAAGGCAATTAAAAGTCATCAAATCAAAGCATGTCAAAAAGGCTGTGCAGAAAATGAGTAATCTTGAGTAATCAATCTCTCTTTAGTAAGTAAATAACTAACTGCTCTGGATTTCCATATGTCGTAACAACAGTTACTTGAAAATATAAATGAAAAATTGGTTTTGGGGAATGATACTAACTAAACCAGGGGTCGTCAACCTTGGCAACTTTAAGACTTGTGGACTTCAACTCCCAGAATTCCTCAGCCAGCAAAGCTGGCTGAGGAATTCTGGGAGTTGAAGTCCACAAGTCTTAAAGTTGCCAAGGTTGGAGATCCCTGAACTAAACTATTGCTGCTCTAATTGAGCTTGTGGTGTCTGGACTTTATCTATAGTATGAGAAGAAAAAGGAGAGGACCTAACACTTGGAGATGGTGGCAAGGTGACAGGAAGAGGAAAGAGCCCCACAATTCCTACTTCACTGCAGATACTTGAGATTTTGAACGGCAAGTCCAATTCTTAGCCAAACACTATAATACCAGGCAATGCTAAGAACCAAATCTCTCTTCTCTAAAGTCATCCTGAGCTTTAATTGTCAGGAAAACATCGATTATATTTTATTTTATATATTTTATCTATTATATATTTTTAAAAAATACAGGAGCCATAAGTGCTATAGCCTAGTCCAGGGGTAGGCAGCCTTGGCTCTTTTAGGACTTGTGGACTTCAACTCCCAGAATTCCTGAGCCAGCCTGGCTCAGCTTGGAAACCTCTCCCTTTCCCCTCAGCATGGCTGGCTCAGGAATTCTGGGGGTTGAAGTCCACGAGTCATAAAAGAGCCAAGGTTGCCTACCCCTGGTATAGTCAGACATGCAACTAGTTATGTTAATGAAGGAAGACAGAGGCACTAACTGTTTAGCCTCCATGATAGATATTACAAGCCTGTCTTGAACTGACCCACAGACAAATTCAAAAGAAGAAGGTGCTGGCCTAGAAACTAGGAGACTGTGATTTCTAGTCCCACTTTAGGCATAAAAACTGTCTTGATGACTTTGGGCCAGTTACTCTTTCTCAACCTAATCCCTCACAGGGGTGTTGTGGTGGTGAAAATAGGAGGAAGAAGGAGTATTAAAGGTAGGATAAAATTCCAAGAAATAAATAAATAAATGTAAGGCAGGAAAACTGGAGTCTTGTGCATTAATTTGGATACAGCAAGTCAGTTGCAATAGCTCTGCATGAGGAGCTATCAAAAGAGGAAGCAATCTGTCATTTTTTTAAAAAGAGAAACAGCTCTGCACACTTGGCAACAGCTGATTGAGTATAATTACTACTTTAAAAATATGAGTTCATAGAGTCATAGAAAAAGGAAACTAAGAGTCATCAAGTCCAACACCCTCCAGTATTAACTACCAACTAGAGTAGACTATCCAGTCTATATCTGCAAAAAGTCTAGTGAAGGAGTTTCTTCAGAGGAATTCAGGGTTCCATTCAGCAATCCTTCTGAATACTGGCGAAGTTTGCTTTCTCATTATTGAATATGCCAAATACAGATACCGCTTGACTTACGACCACAACTGAGCCCAACATTTCTGTTGTTAAGTGAGACATTTGTTAAATGAGTTTTGCCCCATTTTCTTGCCACAGTTGCTAAGTGAATCACTGCAGTTGATAAGTTTATAACCTGGTTGTTAAGTGAATCTGGTTTCCCCATTGACTTTACTTGACAGAAGGTTCGCAAAAGGTGATCACACGATCCTGGGACACAGCAAAGGTCATAAATATGAACCAGTTGCCTAGTATCTGCATTTTGATCACATGATCACATGCTGCAAAGGTTGTAACTATGAAAAACAGTCATAAGTCACATTTTCAGTGCTGTTGTAACTTTGAACAGTCGCTAAATGAAGTGTTATAAGTTCGAGGACTACCTATAATCCTTTTTTGACGGCCACACTTCAATTAAACAATTTTTGGATAGTTACACAGATCTAACTTCCCCTCTTATAACACAGTCTTGCAAGATTCCAAAATACTTTACATACACCTTCAATATCTTGTGGAGCCCTCATTGTGTATATAGCATTATACTGAAGCTTTTTTGTTCGCTATGGAAACCAGAACGTAAAAGTTGAAGGTTTTATGATCAGACCAAAATCTGTATTGGTCAGAATAGACACCTTGAACAATCCTATAGGACAGACATGTCAAACTCACAACGTCACGTGATGTCGCACAATGTATCAGGCCGGTTTTGCCATTGCTGGCAATGGGATAGCCACGGCTTCCAGATGACGCATCCGGCCCGTGGCCCGGCAGTTTGACATCCCTGCTATAGAATGTAAAAATCTTGACTATCTGGCAATTATGTAAAGTATCAGCCAACAACATTACAATTATTTATCTAATGAGACTCTTGGATCATATTCAACATCGAGAAGTATAAATGAAATGAATGTGTTTTGCAATACTGTATAGTTTTGATTCCCCTTGACATTAAATCATCAATAATTAAAATAAGCCAGAGAATACAGGGCTAAGCAAACTTTCAGTATTGTCCAAGTTTGCCTAATAATTATTTGAGTTGCGCATGGGTAGTTCTGAAACTCAAAAAGGGGGGGAAAAACTAGCCAGGTAACTACAGGGCTGTTTAATGTCAAAACCATTAAACAGCCACAAACTCTGGAACACATTACTAAGCAGTCATAGTTGGGTTTTAGTAGAGAAATGATAAAATGTGAACTGGACTGGACTGCTAATAAATACTGTAGATACAGGGATGGTTTAAGAATGGTACCCAATGAATGGATGTCAGTGACTTCTTGTCAAGCAGAATGGAAGTGTTGAAGGCATACTGCAGGTCCTCATTCCAAGCCCTATAAAGTTCAACTTATTTATAAATGATTTGGAAGAGAAGCTAGAAAAAGAAATATTTTCACATTGAGGATGACAGAAGGATTGTGTGGATAGCATTCCTATCTATGACTCACAAGTACTCCCTCAACTGAGTCAATTATAACTATTGTCACTAAATGTATTCTAAAGTTTACTAATAAAGCTAAAATGACACACTTGGCTTGATAATTAAAGGTTGTGTTTTAAAATCTGGGGGATCTTTTTAATTATTATTTTTCTTTCCCTGGGCTACAAACTTTGAGAATTTTTTCTCAGTTCAGCAATGTATGTTTTATCATTTCTCCTGTCAGCTCTGCCATCTTCACTATGCTTTGCTAAGCTTGTTGGCATCCTGCCATAAATGGAGGGGGGGGGGCAAAGCAATTTGGATGCCTGGCCTGGGAAAGAAAGTGAAGCCATTTCAAGATGCGCCTGACCTCAAAGCAGTTCCCAAAACATTGCTCTGGGATGCTATTGGTCACTGATGATCTGGTCAAGATTGGGGGAAGGTCATGGAAAGGGGAAAACTTGTAACTTTTGTGTGGGAATACTCAATTCTAGCCTTGCTTTTGCTGCAGCTACTAATCCTTAGTAAAAGAACCTATCACCTAAATCTAATGGAATCAAGGGTCTTTCTTTCCTAGGAACCTAGCTGGGGGCAGGCCTGACATGTCCTGTTCTTCAATTTTTACATTAATGACCTAGTAAAATGGTTAAAAAAACCCAAATCATCACCTCTCTAAAATTACCCTGTTGCTCTATGCAGATGACGCAGTAATCCTCTGCAGGACACCTGTAAGTCTTAAAAGAGCCTTGTGAGCCCTTGTCCAGTATTGTAATAATGACAAACTGATCATAAACTACCAGTCACTTGAGGTAAAAGTAAATCACTCTGCATTTCAGTCCTCATCCAATATCTTAAAATATAAAGTTTAAGTTTGAAAATATATAACAAAGTTGTGATTATATTAATAAACCATTATATTATGTGGCAGGTATGACTTTGATATTATACAGTACTATAAAACATGCAGATGCTCATTTTGGTAATCAAAAAGAACCAAAATGCAGTTGTCAAAAGCAAGATTTTTAAATCAGGTAGGAGTTTTGAAGTCATAGCTTTTGTACCTTGTGTTAAAACTTCCACACAATAGACAGTGATACATAAAACCAAGGTAAATGAAGACAATAAGCTATCTCCAAATAATCACTTTTTAACCTATAAACGTTTATCCCCTATCCTTACGCTGGTCTCATTTTAGGCTATATCTTAGGCAACAACCTGTCCTATTATGTTCTATACTTCAAAGCACCAATCAGCCATAAAACACAATGGAGAATAAGAGTCCAGACAGTTTCTAACTATCCTGACAGCAAGGGCTGCAAACCACAATGTTCACTCATCTGGAGAGACTATACATGGAGAAATTTAAAACTGTATTTAAGGCAATATAAATTTTGCAAGATTTAAAAATCTCTATTGAACATTAACCAGAATTAGTTTTCAGTATTATTATCTGCTTGTCTGTCTTATAACATCCACATTATACATTATTAACTGGTGTATATCTCAGTTTACACTTAACAAATTACATTCTCTAAGTTGGTAACCAACGTAACTCCAGTCATAAAGCAAGATTACATATGCAAAAGAAAAGGTTTGCTGTCTGAATGCAAAATTGTAAAATGAAAATCCCTTGTCTATTCAGTATAAAGCAAGCTGCAGGAACAGGTTTTTCAGGATTTGGGTGGAGATGAGGATCAGTTTTGAAAGAATTAAAATAGTAAGTAGCTATGGGATCAGCTAGTTTCTCTGTACAATTTTAAGATGTGTGAGTTTTCTGTTAACATCTTAATTGTTCTTTTTTTTAAAAAAATGAACTTTTTTACAACCTCAAACTTAATTAACTATATTGAAAAAAATAACTATTTTCCTAAATAACATATTGTGCTCTTGCAAAATAAAGCAGAATAAATAGGGAATACTTCCTTTAAATCATTCTCTTGTCACTAAACTCTTACTTTTTCAACATCTAATACTTTGCCAGGGAAGGGCAGATAGTAGGCTAGTTGTACTATTATGCCATAGAGAGGATATAACTTGTGTACAATTTTACTGCCATGGTCATCTCTCATTGGTGAGATTTTAAGTTTAAAAAACCCTTCTTCTAAGCAATTCTTTTGATAAGCAGAAACAAAGTACAAAGGATCACAGTGCAAAATGACTTAGGTTTCCAGAGGTTTTGAAGGCATTGCATTTGGGCATCCTGTCTGAGCTTCTGAGGTGGTAAATCAAAACCAAATAGGGAGAAGGAAAGATCATAAGGTGAATTGTCCTGCCCCTCTAAATATCTCAAACTGAACACTTTTGAAAAATTTCATGCCAATCTATAAATATCTGCTTACCTCTTTATGCACCCAGTATCAAAATCCAGATTCTCCAGAAATAGTGTTGTGCAGTTCCACTTACAAAAAAAGAAGTATTGGCTGCACCCGACCGTCTTCGCAGCTTTGTGACTTCTCCAGCAGAGATGAGTCACTCTGGGAAGAGGGGGGAGGTGTGGAAAAGGGAGGGCACCTGTTATACAGTTTAAATACACTATAGTAACTTAAAGTTATTTATTGTTGTTTTACACTGATACTTGTTACATTTCAAAATTGGGATGTGTGTATCTGCGTGATGGAATTCTACATATTATATTATTATATTTATATTTATGTATAATATAAAATGTATGTGCATACATATATCAACAACGTTTTGAAAACAAAACAGGCTTTTGGGGGGGAAATTACAGATCCTGAAGTTGAAAGTCAAGTACTTTGGCTACCTAATGAGAAGGAAGGACTCACTGGAGAAGAGACTAATGCTGGGAAAGATTGAGGGCAATAGAAGAAGAGGATGACAGAGAATGAGGTGGCTGGATGGAGTCACTGAAACAGTAGGCATGAGCTTAAATGGACTCCAGAAGATGGTAGAGGACAGGAAGGCCTGGAGGAACATTGTCCATGGAGTCGCGATGGGTCGGACACGACTTTGCAACTAACAACAACAACAAATATTAGATACAAATCTAATATTGCATATTGGCTGTAATATTTAAATTGCTGTCAAAAAAAATTTCCCAAAAGAAACAGAACATGGGAAAGCCTGTTTATGTGCTAATGATATATAAACAAAATAATTTAAGGATTAGAGCCATAAATTACCTATTTATTAATATAGTATATCCCTAACCATTCTCTCTTTTCTAAGATGAGTCCCAAGTAAGCTTTTGCAGTACTTCAGTGCCATCTGCCTTCTTTGATCTTGTTCTGGGATTCAATCCTCCCTCGACCTTTCCTTCAGGTAGGTGTTCCAGTGCAGGGTCCATTTCTCCAGTCACATTGCCTATGGGACCCACGTCCTTTTGCTTTTTAGAGGGCAGCATGGAATAAATTACTCCAAACTTCACTTCGGTATAAAGGGCATTTTTATCTCCCACAAACTATTGATTCTTCTTTCCCTAACAGAAGCTGAAATGCAAACCATATAGTACCCTGCCATCACATTAGCTCTGGTATGAGACAACTGAACATGGCTACCTTAATGTGCCCACTTCATCTCGGGCCCCCACCGTGGCTGACCCAACACAGGCTTTCTTACTCGGCTGACTCTCAACCAGGACTCCTCTTCCACCACTGGTCTGCCAGCGCTCTAACCCCACCCCTTCATCCTGGGCATTTCACGGAGGGATAATTTTCTGTGGCCAATTGGCTGCATGGGACATTTAGATGCACATCCAAGCAGCCAATCCAAACACTGAGGAGTGGGTGGCCTCTGGCATGGAGAGGTGGGGGACATAGCGGTTGCTTTGTTCTGTACATAAGGAAGGAGGAAAAAGCAGCCCATGAAGGGAGCAGTCAGGGCCAGAGTCTTTCCCTTCCCAGCCATTCAGGAGGCTGCCTTCCTCACTGGCATAACGACAAATTTAATAACAAGCCTATCTGGCAACGTTCAAGATCAAGGACAAGAGAACAATTAGTAAATGAAGGATTTATCTGTGAATGGTTTAATTATTATAGAATTTTTGAAAGATTTAAACTTGATAAAAAAAATTCTTTTCACAGGAGTTAAATCTGAATTGGATGTCGGTTTATGTTCTAAAGATGACTACTTGATTGTTAAAGTATATAAAATGTTACTCAAGATCAGTGGTTCTCAACCTGTGGGTCGGGACCCCATTTGGTGTCGAACGACCATTTCACGGGGGTCACCAAACAAAGCAGTCTGCCATTTTTCCCCCTTTTCCTTAGCTGTGCTATTCCTTTTTATTCTATTGGCTTTTGAAAGCCAATAGAATAAACTCTCTTGAATAGAGTCTAATTCTATTGCTTTCAAAAGCCAATAGGAATTGTCCAGGCTGTCTCTGCCCTGCTGAGCCCGCCAAAAGTCCCATTCTGCAAACGGTGTTGCACCAGTTGACCGGTTGGGGGTTGCGGCATTAAAAAGGTTGAGAACCATTGCTCAAGATGAATCTGGAAGACAAATTTGTTGAAGATTGCATGGTAAAATGGGCAAAAAAATGTTGGATACAACATACAATAATGCTAGATAAATGGGAGAATGTATGGACAAATGGATAAAAATTCACACTGAATTATAACTTAAAAGAAAAAAATTACAAAATGATGTATCATTAATATTTGACTATAGATAGACTGGCAAAAATGTAGAGGTAGTCCTCGACTTACTGTCACAGTTCAGCCCAAAGTTTTTGTTGCTGAGACATTTGTTAAGTGAGTTTTGCCCCATTTTACGACCTTTCTTGCCACAGTTGTTAAGTGAATCAATGCAGTTATTATATTAGTAACATGGTTGCTAAGTGAATCTGGCTTTCCCATTGACAGTACATGTCAGAAGGTTGCAAAAAGTGATCACATGACCGTGGGACACTGCAACGTTCATAAATGTGAGTCAGTTGCTCACTGTCTGAATTTTGATCTCGTGACAATGGGGATGCTGCAATGGTCATAAATGTGAAAAATGATCATAAGTCACTTTTTTTCAGTGCCGTTGTAACTTCGAATGGTCACTAAAATGAACTGTTGTAAGTCGAGGACTAACTGTACAGAGGTTCTTCTAATAAGTGTTGGAAATGCAATCAAAATCCAGATACATTTTATCATATGTGGTCGTCTTGTAAGTATGTGAAAACATATTGGATAAACATAATAATGATAACGCAAAAAATACTTAAGATACAAATATTAATGAAACCTGAAGCTTTTCTTTCAAATGTTATGGACAAACCAATTGGGCTGCTATTCCTTCATATGGTGACCACGGCGAGGATTGTACTTGCCAAGCACTGGAAAGGAAAAGGTGCGGCACCTTAAGAAACAGGAAAAAGAGCACTGTCAAAGAGGCCATCAATTAACAAACAGATAGTTTAGATGCCAAAAGAGCTTTCAGCTGACTGTAGAAAAGGCTTTTGGCAATACATTTCTTTCCCACAAATTTCAACAAAATTCACAGGAGTAGATAAAGATGAGTTGAATGCATAACGCCTGAGCTGTCAACTTCTGTGTCAAAACATTAAGGCAACTAACAATTTCAAATGCTGTGGTGAATGGCAGCAAGAATGTTTGAATCATCGCTTTTTAAGGCAGATTGAAGGCATCACAAACATGTTAAAAGCAGCAGGATTTGTATCATCTTGCTTGAGCCTGCCATTTTGATGCTATTAGCAATAGTACTTGGACTTATATACTGCTTCACAGTGCTTTACAGCCATCTCTAAGTGGTTTACAGAGTCAGCATATTTCCCCTAACAATCTGAGTTCTCATTTTAACGACCTTGGAAGGATGGAAGGCAATGGTGGGATTCAAATATGTGAACAATCAGTTCTCTGTGTGGATGCTGCTTCCAGAAGTCCACTCTGGGCCTGGGCAACAAAAATTAGCTACCAGTTCTGCCAAAGTGGTATGAACTGGTTGAATCTCACCACTGATGGAAGGCTGAGTCAACCTTGAACCGATCAGGATCAAATTCTTGGCATGAGCAGTGAGTTAGCCTGCAAATACTGCATTCTAACCAGTGTGCCACCATGGATCCATTGAACCTTCAGGGGATATTTCTACCCCCTTTGAAGATCCTCATGGTGGGCACATGGCAAAGGGTTTTCTCCCATAATATTCCCAAACTGAGATGCCCATCCTTCAGAACTTTATACTTAGCAAAAGTATAAAGACAAAACTTTTTATTTATCTTCGTGTTATAAATTATTTTAAAGATTCCTTTAAACTGAATATGATTTTTAGTGGCTACTACCATAAAATGTACTTTGGGGGCTAACAAAAAGGAAGCGGCTTCCTTGTGCCTCCTATAGCCTAGGGATGTCTCTCTCAGAACCATCCAGGACAATCCCTGAGCAATCAGCTGCGTTAGCTGGTTGCTGTCATCTGCTGTAAGCAAGTTATTTTTAATCATTTACTGCTCTTGTAATACTGTGACATAATTGCATTTTTAATAATGCAGTGGTTACTTTTTTAATTTAAAAATTGTTATGAACTATCTGAGTAGCTTCTTAGTAGAAAGGCAATATAAATGTGACCAAAGAAATAATTACCTATAAAGAAATATTTGTTGAGATTTGAGTTCTGATGCAGAATGTAGATTAAATTAAATTTACATTCCTATGGTATTTACCATATCAGTGAATAAATCAATGGTTGGTAATTTAATTCAGTGCTTTTCAACCCATGGTATGCATACCACTGGTGTTACTTCAGCACCTAGCAGGTGGTAGATATACGACAGGTTCAAAAGCAGCGTTAAAAAAAAGTGTAAAAAAAGAGTAAAAATGTAGTAGGGGGATGAGCTGAAGCTCTGCTGAGCACCCAGAATCTACATGGGGCTTCAGCTGATTGGCACTTCCAGAAACAGCTCGCAGCCTTGGGGGAAAGGAGTCAGTTGTAACTACACCGAAGAGAAAAGGAGGGGGGAGGGAGAAAAGAGAGGATATAAAAGGAGGTTTTGGAGAGAAAGGGAGAAAAAAAACACGATGTGGGAAGAGAAGGGGACAGAGTAAGAGAGACGGAGAAACACACATCCTTGGGGAAAGGAGTCAGCTGCTGCCGCTACACAAGAAAAGGAGGAAGGGGGGAGAGAGGAGAGGATATAAAAGGAGGAGGTTTTGGCAGGAAAGGGACAGAGAGAAAAACACAGCAGGGAAAGAGAAGGGGACAGAGAAAGACAGAGAAGAGGAGATGCTTCTTTGAGTCAACCAGAAGGAGAGAAGATGATAGAACAGTGCAAAGATTAATGTCAGAGAAACAAGTTTCCCATTAAAAGTGTGATGAGTGGGTATATAAATAGTCCTCAACCTGCAACCACAACTGAGCCCAACATTTATGTTGCTAAGTGAGAATTTTTTTAATGAGTTTTGTCCCATTTCATGACTTTTCTTTTCTTTTCACATTTGTTAAGTGAATCATTGCAGTTGTTAAATTACTAATACAGTTCTTAAGTAAATCTGGTTTCCCCATTGACTTTGCT